ACAGAGGGCTCATTTTGTGGTTTTAGTTATAGATTTTCTTCTGTAATTAGAATTCATCATTAGGCATTGTAAGCACGTGCAGATTCTTGCTTTTTTATCCGGTACTTCAGAATTGGGCACATTTGTTGATTTTCCTCTAAAAACATTTAAAATGCAGCAACAATAATCGAACTGACTTATAGGATGAAACAAATGTACAACACATTTATAAGTATATCTAAAATACTGTCGTTTTCTCTGAACCTGAGTATTATTATAGCTTAATTTTTAAAATTGCATATAAATGATTGTACAAGTACTTCAAATTTTGCAACATAAAGAATTAACAAATCTGAATATTAGTCATTTTATATTGAATTGTGAGCACAAAGAAAAAAATTATAAATGCTGTAAATTCTTGTATATAATCCATGATACCAAAAATTTAACCAAAGCTTTAAAGAACCATAAACAGCTAAGTTAATATTTCTAAAATAGATATACATTTTAATGCTTATTCTAATGTTCACTTAATTTTAGTTTTTTTAAATGTAAGCCATTATTTTTATGCCTAACAATTATAAGAGCCATACTACATGTTAATTATGTTGCTGATACAACACATGATATAATATAAATGAAAATTGTTTATGAAAGTTAGTGTTTGAATATCATGATGATGAACAATCCAGACTTATTTACCTCTTCTAATTCACTCCAATGTTAACTAGGAATCACTATAAACAAGCTGACTTAAGTGGATTTAGCCACAGTATAAAGGTAGTAACATGTCACTTCTGTGATCATGTTTTCCCTGAGTATTCAAAAGTTAACAGCACACAGATTTGGTCCATCTTTTCTTTGTAGTTGGCACTAAATGTAAAAGCTGCTTTCTGATTCAAAAAGATATCAAAGAAGCTGTTTTATCTAAATGTCCTACCACTTATTAGGCTTTGCTTACCCTATTAAGTCTTTTTCTCTGCCTCTGACAGGGTTAATTAGTACCTCACTTTTTTTTTTTCTCTCCAGATTCTGTTCCTCTTTTTCTTGTTTGTATTACTTGAGAAGTATCCCATTGTCAAACCAATGAGCCAAATAAGTCAATGATCATAAAAAGTCTGATTTCATTTTTAATTAAAATAAACATGTTCATACTCATCTTCACTACTCAGAAATCCAACATAGATAAAACCAAAAGCTTTTTGCCTTGATAACACACAATGTCAGTTTCTCAGCAGTATCTACACTCTCTTCATGTTGCTTTCACCAGATAGTCTTTCTAGAAATACATTCTTTTTTTTTCTTTTTTTTATTGTTGGTTGTTCAAAACATAACATAGTTCTTGATACATCATATTTCACACTTTGATTCAAGTGGGCTATGAACTCCCATTTTTACCCCGTATTAGAAATACATTCTTAAGCAATTGACAGTGGATGGATGAGCTAAGGTCTCAAACAAAGGTAGTTAGCACTGCTGCTGTTGCACTGTATGATACATGTCCATTTATCAATCCAGAGTATGAACATGGGGCCCAATAACTCATTTCTGACTCACTGTTTCATCCTTAACAAATGTATGAAAAGGGAAAATGTATGAAGGCAGGGAAAGACATGGGGCTCTTCAAATACAGTTTATGATTTCTTTATTTGAAGAAACTTCACTGATACCAATATTTTGCCTTTTTCTTTCTTTCTTTAGTGCCTTGAAGGAGTTTCCAAAGGCAAGCCATTGTAGCAAGATTTGGTATGAAATCTATGTTTTTAAAAAAGTTTCATAGATTTTTTTTAAGGTAGAAAAAAACATTTATACAAAGAGAAGTGGGAAAGAACCAGAGTGGTATTTTAAGTCACTTCCTATCAGGAATAACACATGAAGTTAAAATTCTAGAAATTGAGATCCTTAAAAATACCCATAGCCCTGTGTTTCTCAGAAATTTTTATTTACCATCTAGTGTGTGTCCCCAGCTTGGAGACTGTTGACTTCAAGACTGTATTTCAGTAGTCCATGGGGCTTAGGGGTGTAGCTCAGTGGTAGGGCACATGCTTAGCATGTGCAAGCCTTGGGTTCAATCCCCAATACAAAAACTAAAACAAAACATAAATAAGCTCATATAAACTACATAAATCAAACGTAGATATCCAGTTAACTTACTCTGTCAGCAACAGGTAGGAGACCCATTGGAAGACTCCAAGCACTTAGGAAGTGCAGGTCCATTATACAGCAGGGTCCTGTACCTATAAATGGCTGCATAAAACAAAGTCCTCCTGCTAGTTCATGTAGATGTGAGTGAGAAATAAACCTTTGCTGAGCTCTAATTCCAAGATTTGGGGATTGTTAATAGTGTTTAGCCTGTCCTGACTAATCGAGTAGCTGATGTGCTGGATAGGGTTTCTCCATTATAGGCATGAAGTGACCTTGTAGCCAAGACTACGGTGTCCTGTGAGGGTATTGAATGGGAATCACAGCCTGTTCTCAGGAAATGAGGCAGTGCCAGAGAAAGTCAGGATAGGGCCCAATCAAAGAGAAGAGATTACAAACTACTCTACCTACACCCTCCTGGCAGTTGCCAGCAGATCTCTAGGGAGTGGGTTCAGACAGCTGCTCTCAGTGGACACCAGAAGACACCTGTCAGAGGTCAGTTATGGCCTTCTCCTCCCAATATCAGAAGGACACAGCAACTTCCCGTATATTCAACTGCCATTTTAAGGAGGGAAAAGAAATCCAAAAACAAATGTTCATCTAAAGAGATCATCTAATCCACCTTTGATGGGGTGGGGATCCTTCAATAGAAGAAACATTTAACCTGGAAGAATACTGTTGGAATCAGAAATGAAGATATCCTAACTTGGAAAACCCAATATTCTTCATTACCCAGAGTTTATAAAGATACTCTGTTAGTCATAGGAAATGACTGACTTTTAAAAGGGGAGAACATATTAGTTCTGTGTGAGTTTGTGACCCTACTAATCTTTTTTTTTTCTTTTTATGTTGTGACTATAAAATCTAGTTCAGATTAAAAATAGATATGAAAAAAGTTTTTAAAAGTATACATGCATTAGAAAGCATGTATGCTTTTAAATATTTTAATACTTTCTATTTCTGAAAATTCAGCAATGGCCAAGAATACATGATTTGTTTAAAGGGACAGTTTCTCTGGAGATGTGGCTCAGTACTAAATATCAAAATACAGAGCACTGACAAGCAATAGTTGTTTTTTTTTTTTCTTCAAAAGTACTTTCCTAATGACATCCTTTGTCAAATTGTTATGCGTGACGACATCCTTTGCCTGGAAGGCTAATTGGTTATAGTTTTTATCAAATCTGCAGAAAAGAGCAGAATTTTAATTTCACTTGACATATTGTTAAATTGAGCTTTTATGCCATCTGGTTAGTTCAAGTCAATTGTTATTCTTTTGAGTCGTAAATATACAACTTCCACATTATGCATCTTTGAAAAAATGAAGTCCTCAGACAGAAAAAATTATGAAAGTCGATTGTCCCAGTGTATAGACTACACAGCAGTAGCAAAAAACTGCTGTTGAAAGTTGTATGAACTATTTCAGTCCACTAGCACTCTGTTCTTAATAGTATGCTCTTCAAATGTGTTTGTCAAGATGGCTTGTTTGCCACTTGGAAATTCATTCATACTCTCTCCGGGAGCTCCCCCTTGTGACTAGTGGTCACCAGTGTTGAGGCAGTTGGTTTTAACAATTAAAATGCACACTCTCAGGGAGGCCCTGAGATTCCCTATTTCTGTCACAGAACTGTATTTAATTTTCCTAACTACTTACTGTTTTCTATGTATGGACTCTTTGCTGGGTGCTATTAATTTTTCCTCATTGGAGAATAAGTGCCACAAACACTGAGACCTCCTTGATTTGTGTACCCTGGCTGCTGCTGCTGCTGCTGCTGCTGCTGCTGCTGCTGCTCCTCCTCCTCCTCCTCCTCCTCCTCCTCCTTCTTCTTCTTCTTTTTTTTTTTTTTTAAGATTTTTTAGTTGTAGTTGGACATAACACCTTTATTTTTTAAATTTATTTTTATGTAGTGCTGAGGATGGAACCCAGGACCTGCACATGCTAGGAGATCACTCTATAAAGCTGAGCCCCAATCCAGTGCTCTAAAGCTGAGCCCCAGCCCTAGCACATTGTTCTTAATAGGAAATCAGTAAACACTTCTGCAATGAGTAAATTTGTGGTTATTGATTTTGGAGCCATTTTTCTTTGTAAGAAATTAACAAAGGAAGATCAAACCTGTGATTTTTTTAAAATTTGATGGTAGTAATTATTATTAACTAACCAAACTATCTAGCCTAACACAAGGTATCTAGATCACTAGCAGAGGGCAATTTATTTAGTGCTTCCCAATGCAACCTCTAGGCTCATTCTTATGGGACTATAATTCAGACCCTCAATTTTTCCCTTTTAAATTCAAGTTTCATATCTCTGGTTGTTGAGAAAGTTATGAATTATTTTATATATTTATAATAAATCCCACAGATTTTTAATAGTATCAAATATCAATATATTTCTTTAAGTTTATCTATAAGGTATCTTTAAATATCAAACTTGATAAGTCATTTAACAGTTGAAAGGTTCAGAGGTTCAGGCACTTTCAACTATGTGGTTGCTCATGAAAGTGCACTGTTCACCAAGAGCTGTACTATTTAAAGAAAGATAATTTTTCTTCCCTTTAGCTTGAGAAGTCACGCCTACTAAAAATTAATATATACTTGAGAGCCCCAAAATTGTTTGAAATTTAGAAATTTAGAAATAAATTAGTACTTTTCAAATCTGCCTATTATAAATGATTGACTTAGAAACAAACAAGAAATGTAAGAAGCCTATTTCTCTCTTATATAAGTGTAGAATTTAGAAATTTGTTTTACTTCCTCTTTCTCGATCTTTTAATGGAATGAGTTTTGGTGAATGTCTCAGGAGGTATATCAGCTTGGTTTTACAATACCAAAAAAAAAAAAATTTAGTAGGATTATATTAGTGCAAAAGCAATTATTCACATTGGTTTGAGAGTTTTCAATAGGGGTTTCTTTTAATAGTTCCTGTCTTTCTGAATAATAATCATTATATAATTTCCCCTTTCTAAGAATGGATCACAGTTTATAATAATGAATAAATCAAACCCAACCTGATTTGATTACAATTAAAAGCCAGTAATCACTTTAACAATAGTTAAAACGGTGACACAATTCCATTCTTATGGCATCTAGTTAAAGGGAAATACAGACAGGAATCCCCCCTGCAGTCTTCTCTGCTTATCTCCAGAGCTGTGCTAGTCTCTGACTTCATTATCACTGGTCATTCTTCTCAAGGTCAGAAATGAGAATATTTTCTTCTAAATGTGTTGTACTAAAATTGGTTGCAGGATAGTAAGGATTCCGAAATGCTGCAAGTCTCCGGAAGAAGCCACTATTCTGCTTGTGTATGTAGAAGGACAGTGTGATAATCACTAGGATTATTATCAATGTCAATGCAACTGCAAGAGGAATAATGCTGTGACTTGGTCCTGAATGAAGATTTAAAAAATTAAAAAAAAAGAAAATAGGAAAAATTTGAGTGACAATGAGGAAATATGAATCTTCTTACCTTGTTGCTTTCTATTTTATTGTTTCTAAGAAAAATCAAAATACTCCTTCTGCTCCAAACCTACCTTTTCCTGGGTGCTCCATTACAGTGTGAATATCTAAAAGAAAAGAAAAGAAAAGTTGAAATGAATTTTTTCTTTTAATTCAGCAAAATTATCTCATTACTTATAGCAAGGATCAGCATACTATGGCCCATGAGTTACCTGTTCTTATGAATAATGTGTTATTGGAGCTCAGCCATATTCACTTACATATTAACTGTGACTGTTTATGAGGCAATGCCAGTGTTGCAGAGATCCTATGGCCCCCAGAGCACAAAATATTTACTACCTGGAAAAGCTTAGTGGCCCTTCATTTATAGTGATCATTCTATTATTATTAGCATTACAAACGTATGCACTGCAATCTTCTTAAAAAATTATTTTGTACATATTTTTCTTTGTTGATGGACCTTTATTTTATTCATTTATTTATATGAGGTGCTGAGAATAGGTGCCTCACACATGCTAGACAAGCACTGTACCACTGAGCCACAACCCTAGTCCTACTGCATTCTTTTCTAAGCCAAAGAATTCCCATCCAGTGTGAGCACTGTCCTGCAATGGAAAATGAAAGTAAAACACAGTCCCCATACATCAGGAGCTCATGGGTTCTTTTTCTTTTTTTTTTTAATCTGTTGTGGAGTTTATCCAGCAAGGATAACCTGTCTACTTCTATGCAAGGATTTTACAGGCAGCATTTTCTCACCTCTGTGATCTCAAAAGTCTTAGGAAATTAATAATAGCTCTTCCAGTAAAAAAAAGTGAGATGGCTCCTGTTTTAAGATTTTTACTGTAAACATATATATTTTTCAAGTAGACTACCTCAAAATTCAACCTCTGCAATTTTTGATCCTGGTAAAGATCCAAAGGAAGATATAGAGGATAATCTGGAAGAAGACGAGTAAGTGGATAGTGAGTGGAGGCGGTACCTTGAACTCTGTTTACACCTACTCACTCTGACAGACTTAAAAGAAACATCATTGTTATTACCTACAGCAAAGCTTCATTAAAAAACCTTGTTTCTATAATTTAAAAATAATGTCACATAATTTTACATCAAATTATTAAAAACATTTATTATTCTATGTGGGTAAAAGATACTTCTTAGTGAAAGACAGTTAATAGATATTTATTCTCCTGATAAAGGCAGTGGAGGCATAGAAGGAACTCTTAGAGAATTGGAACTATAACCTTTGATGTAGCCTCAATTTGGACAAGCATTTTTCTCATTTGCAAAGTGGGGATTTTTAAAAATTTGTTCTTTTTAGCTATATACTACAACAGAGTATATTTTGACATATTATATACACATGGAGTATAACTTCGCATGGTTGTACATGATGTGGAGTTACACTGGTTGTGTATGAACTGTTCATATATGAATATAGGAAAGTTATATCAAATTCATTCTACTATCTTTCCTATTCCCATCCCTTCTCCCTTCCCATAATTCCCCTTTGTCTAATCCAATGAACTTCTATTCTGCCCCTGCCCCTACTTATTGTGAGTCAGCGTCCGAATTTCAGAGAGAACATTTATTTGGACTTTGGTTTTTTGGGATTAGCTTATTTCACTTAGCATGATCGTCTCCAACTCCATCTAAAGTGGGAATATTTTAATTGCTCCACTATCTTACAAAGTTGCTGTGAAGGATGAAAGAGGTGTCACGTATTATAAAAAGCTTTAAAGTCCTTACAGACATGAGGTACTTCTGACTTGTTCTTTCACTTTCTCTTATTTAAAAAATACTTATTTTTGAGTTGCAGTTGGACACAATACCTTTATTTCACTTATTTATGTTTATGTGGTGCTGTCGATCAAACCCAGGGTCTTCCACATGTTAGGCAAGCCCCCTACCACTGAGCTACAGCCCAGCCTCTGATTTGTTCTTGATCCTATGTGCAGGTGGTAACTTGGGCACGCCCTAACCATGTTTCCCACACAGAATGATACACTATTGGAGCCTCAAACATTGATGTCCACAGCAAGTTTTTTTTCCTTCTTTCTCAGTGTCTAATCAGTCATGAAGGCCTGGTGAATCTCTCTTCCCACATCCCCCCCTTTTTTTAATGTTGTCACTCAGGTTACAAATACTTCTCTTGACATTGAATAAGTGCGTCGTGGCAGGTGTCTACAGAGAACACTGGGTACTTTTCTCCTCTCCCATGAACTTGGCTCTTCAGCCTGAATTCTCTGTGAATGGACCTTCTTCACTGGTCAGTTTTATTTTCACCACTCTCAAACATGAGCCCCCCCCCCACTCTAATCTAAGCTTATTGTCCATTCTGCCTTAAGCCATGACGGGCTTTTTGTTTAAAATGCCTCTTTTCTCCTCTGTTCCATCTTCTAATAGTCTCTTCATCATTTTAGATTCCACAACCTTATCTCTCTGAGGTCTTATCCAGCAGCTCCAGGCATACAAATTCCTCCTTGCTGATAAGATTGTCATCTAGAAATTGTTCTGATTATTATAGACACCTTCTCACAGTTAATGATCTTTCTTGACATCTTACCTTAAAAATCTTTACTGTTGTTTGCAACTGACTACAATCTTCTGACTTGATTCCTAAATTATTTTTTGATCACTCTAAGCAAGTTACTCAGGATGAAGTTAAATGTGACTTTTATGACATATCATGCTTATGTCATGACACAGAGAATCACTTCTACCTGTTCATGACAAATATGCCAGATATATAGAGTGTATTTTCTGAGGCCAAAGACAAACTTAACCTTCTGAGTAGCATCACCGGAATGGAGTTGGCTGGTTTACATTCTAATTCTATTTGCTTGTTGGGCTAACAGCCAAGAACAAGAGTCTTTGAATGAGTTGGTTTATAATGTTTTTTTCTTTCTTCACATATGAGAGGAAGTAGCTGAAATGTTCTCTGACTTGTTTTATGCAGAACAAGATGATAATTCCAGAGTCTATCTGAATACTCTCCAAATACTTAGATTTAAAAACTTGAAATGCTGAAATAGTGGGTTAACGTTAATTAGGGTAGAATAAAAATGAAGACTTACTCTCTGATTAACCCACCTGCCTCCATTTTACATATGAACCCCTTTTTTTCTTCACATGGGGTTAACTGCCACACTCCTTCCGGGACCTTCAGGGCAACACACTGGTGGGACTGGAGGTGGTCCATATCTGGCTTCCGAATGCCCCAGTTTGATTGGTCTGTGGGTGTTCCATCAAACCATTTTATGGTTTCATCTGTGAAAATATTACTGACTTATTATACGTTATATGCATGGTTTCAAACACACTAAGACTGCAATGAACCATAGAAATCGATCCCTAAGTTTAATGAGACTCTCTCCTCTGATGCATTAGCTCTGTGAGGACAGTCATGAACTCAATATCAAAGGTAGGTATTAATGAAGTTGACTTGTGAATCACCCTTTATTTATTTTAGATACATTGTTCTATTTAGTACATTTAGAATATCATGTTTATTAGTGTAACAGTTTGAAACATTCCATGTAATTTCTAGCCAATTTCAAGAAATTATTGAGTAAATGAAACTAATCAATGTAAGGACACTCTTTTGAGTCCTAACCTCCAAGTCTTTATCAAATGATTTATGTTCTAAAAGAATTTTACAGTGAATGTCTTTAAATAGCAAGCCAGTCATATGCCAAGGGATTAGAGGCAGTGGGAGACCATCCCATATACAGGAGGGATGCACTGACTGAAAAGAATTTAAAACTAAAACTAAAACTAGCTAAAAGTTTATTTGCTTTTTATTATCACCATCTGCTAGAAACTCTATAAGGTTAGTGATTAAAATGCTCCCCTTAAGGGTAGGCTCACCTCCAACTTTGGTATACCACTGTTACAAGCTCTTCATGCTGATGAAAATAATTTTCTTTACAAGTACCTTTCAATAACCATCAATTACATAAAGAAAAGAATACCAGGCTTCCATTTTATTACAAACTCTGGTTTTTATGAGTAGCAAATAGGAATTCTAATAGAACAATTTATCACTGAAACATTTCCATAACTCTATTGTGCTTTTATAACATTTAGAAACCTGGGGCATTTTCCAGTCAGTCTGGTTTTGGTGTGATATGCTGAGGTCTGTGAATTCACAGTTCCAGCCAAGCATCTTCACAGTAATCGTAAAGGTAAACTTGTTGTTGTTCATTTTTATTTTTGCTATTCTGGGATTATTCCAGAGGATAAGAAGGTATAGAACAGGGTAGCAATGTTGTTTGTGGAAGAAATGGCTTCAGGATTCATGCTATTTTTTTCAAAGCAAATGTGTGCAAGGAGATTTTTCTGGCTCACAGATGCCATTATCATTAGCCCTAACAACTGTGTATTTATTCATGCCCTCTCCTTTTCTCTACCCAAATCACTTACTGTTACTATCAAATTGAGCATTCAACCAAACCATCTGGACAGAAGAACCAAACGCAAAAAGCTCTTCCAGGAGAAATGAATTTTCAGCCTCATCCTTGATTGTTAAAAGATTAGATCCTATAAAAGAGTCAAGTAGCAAATGAGCAAGTATTTGTGTCTACACATTTTAAAAATGTCTTCTATGCCACTATTTGCAAAGTGCAGACTTTGAAAAGTAAAAATCTTTGTTATGAATAAAGTGATTTTGATTAAAAAGTTTAAGATAAAAGCACATTTACTAAGATTGCATTTAAGAAGTTAAAACATAGAATATTAATTTTAGAGAACATTAAAAATTCACAATGCAAATGCATTCAAAATGAACATTTCCTTCAGAAAATGCAATATACTGAGACATCATCTCAGGTTTTCAAATTCTACACTGGACATTAAGTTGCATATATTATCTGTCCCCAAACAAGCAAATTTAATAGTATTTATTGCTTTCTATAGTTTTTGTTGCTCTTAACATCACTAAATAATCAGACAAATGAGAAAAACACATTGTTTACTGAAATGTCAAGAAGGAGCACATGAAAGAATTTTACCATCACAAAAGAATTACCTTCCTTTTTGCAAAATTCATGAGCAGCCTCAAAACTCGTGCTGTCTAGGACTGTAGAAAAACTGTAGCAATTACTTTTGAATTTTATCCAGGGAATAGATGTTTCTGAGCACAACACTGGGTGTTCAAATGGTTTTGTTTCTATGAAGAAAAACCAGTTATGATTTCAGGGTGGTGACTGGCTCCATTTATTGAGATAAACATTACATTATATTCTATGAAAGACCAAGATAAATATATGTAATAAGATTTTCATGGTAATATTCTGAAAGATAGGATTTAATGTAAATGATTACAAAACTAGGGCCAGTTTCTAGCATTTCTGACAGAAACAATATTTACCTAAACATAGCAGTGTATATTAATACATAGCTTAGTTTGAGTGGTGACTGGGTGAGGGGGACTATCTTTCATGTTTGCAATTGGTATCCTAAAGGTTGGGACATCTGGAGGATGTGATTCATAGAAACAGTGACAGCTCAATGATTCTGGCAAAAGGGACTTCCATATGTACAAAATGTGTTTCATGCAGTGCTGAATATCATAGGTTTTAAAAAAATCCTTCCTCACTAATAAATCTATGAGAGAAAACAATGCAACACGACATGAAATAAAACAAATAAGATCCATTTTTTAAAAAATATTTTTAAATTGTTGATGGACTTTGTTTATTTATATGTGGTGCTGAGAATCAAACCCAGTGCCTCACACATGCTAGGCAAGCGCTCTTCCATTGAGCTACAACCCCGACCCTAAATGAGATAAATTTGAAGGGACTTTACTTCTAGGGAAAGCATGAGAGTTAGACTCATCCATCCTGAGATCCTGGCTCTGCCACTTACTGGCTGTGTGACTGTGGGCCCATTACCCACATTGATTCCTTTATCTATAAAAGGAAACTAACAACAATATCTTTTTTATAATCTGGGACTTTAAATTCATTAGTGCTGGATACTTCTAAAGTACTCAATGATGCATTGTTCTTGAAAAGAGAGAGAGAGCTTTTATGGTGTTTCAGAAACAGAATTAATTTTTTCATATACATTTAAATATACATATATTTATTTACATTTAACTCTGAATTGTTTTGATCTAAAGTTACATATTGTGTATGCTATTTGATATAGTACCAAAAACATAAGTAAGTCTTACATTTTTATGAAATGAGAGATTTAAAAGGAGAATAGCTAGTGCTACGGAACTTAAAAAAATAACAAATATTTATTGAGGACTTACAGTTTGCTAAAGGTATATCAGAAGTACTTGTGACTTTACAGAGCTTATATTTTAGTGAAATATATTTTAGATAGCCTCTTTGTTATCTGACTTTTGGCATATATAAGCCATCTCTCTAGTTTAGGGAATTGTCTATACACACTATAGTAATAAAGGAGAAGGGACCTTTTCAAATGGAATTAACATCATATTAGAGAGTGGGGGCATGTGGCTTTTGATTCTGGTCCTGTTGATTGACAGCTGAGATCTCAGGAAGCTATACAATTCTCTGAGTTAAGTTTCACCTTTATTGACCTATTTTTTCTCATTTACATGCCACCTATTCTTCAAGGCTCATCTTCACTGTTATATCCTTCAAGATGCTTTTCTTGGGCTTATGGTTGTGGCTCAGTGGTAGAGCACTTGCCTAGTACGTGTGGAGGCACTGGGTTTGATTCTAAGCACCCCATATAAATAAAATAAAGGTCCATCAATAACTTAAAAAATATTAAAAGAAGAGAAGCCCTTCTGTTTTTCCTTTTTCTTGATAACTCCCACAACAGATGCTACCTCTCTTATCTCATTTGGTATCCATACTGGAATAGCAGTTATTTGTCTTTATATCACTGACCAGATACTAGAGATTTACTAGGGGCTGAGACTTCTACTAGTCATGCTTGTATTTCCTGCTCAGTACAGCCTTGCATATAGTAGAAGCACATGTGTTATTTGTTCAGTTGAATAGAATTGTACCTACCAGTGGGCACATGACAAATGGCACCTTGCAGAAATGACTCACAGGCTGTACTATGCCAGCGTCCATTAGTATCAGCGAAAACACAGTCACCGAAGAAGGATGACTCCTCATCTTTCCAAAAAGTGAAAGAGGATTTGGTGCCATCTGACCAGTCAAAATGAAGACCATTCTGTGGAGGAAAGGTGAGCCATCACTTCCTCAAAACGACTGCTGTGGTGCCACCCCGTGCTGTGAGCATCCCACCCTTCCCACAAATATCTCCACTTCTATTCTTTTTTTCAGAGGGCCTAGAACTGCTTATGAATATGGCCTGACAAAAAGGAGCATCTACCACAAGTGATATATATATTTTTTTGGTTCTGAGAAATCATTGGCTTCTTGCAACCATAATTTCTTAGTAAGTAATCAGAGGGAAATAGGGTCAATACCTTGATTTTTACACCAAAATAAAGTCTAGATTGATTGAAGATTCAAGCATAATGTTGAAAACATAAAAACATTAATGAAAACTTTGCTTTTTTTTTAATACTTTTGATGTGGGGAAAATCTTTCCAAGTCATACAAAATCCAGAGTCCATAATACAAAATTTACTACATAAAGATAAAACATTCTGTAAAACAAAAAATACAACAAATAATCATAAAATATCATTCTTTTAGCTACCCCACTGACAAGGTTTAGAATTTTGATAGTAGTGTTAAGGATGTTAAAAAACTGAGCTGGGATGTGGCTCAATGGTTAAGTGGCCCCTGGGTTCAATCCCTGGTACCAAAAAAAAAAAAAAAAAGGTATAAAAATTAGATGCTATCCTTTGGCATATAAAGTGGTGCAAACTTTTGAAAGGCAATTTGCAGTACTTGTTAAAATTTAGTGTATTCAGCAATTTTATTTCTAGGAAATTATCCTACCTGTACAAGAATGTTTGTTGTGCATTGTGATTGTAAAAAAATGAGAAAAAAAATCAAATGCCCATTTTCAGGGGAATAGTTTAATAAATTGGGGTGTATTCTTACATACTGCTGTTCCAAGTGAATACATGAGATTTTTATGTGCTTACAGGAAGGTTATAAAAACTACACTAAATTAAAAGAGCAAATTTAAGGGTAGCAAACACAGTGTGATCTCATTTGTATTTTAAAAACAATGTACATATTCACTCATTATAGCTGCATACGTGTATGTCCATTGAAAATTTCTAGATGGCATATAAGAAACTGCTTACAACACAGGGAGTAGAACTAGGGATCAAGAGAGAATAGAATTTACTTTTCATTACTTTTATTAAAAAACAATAAAGCAAAGAACCTTATTCTCCAAATCACATTCCTAGAGGAAAACAAAAACAATGTTTAAATTTTAAGAGGTATGGAATTATTTAAAAATCAGGCAAGAAGTGTGAGCCATTTTTCTTGGTGATTCCTGAAATGTCACAAATGACCCAATTTGACCCAGTTGCAGAGCTTGGGTTTAAAATGTGTTCCAGTATTCGTATGGGATGGAATTCAGATGTGTCTGGAAAATTTCAGAGACTTTTGAAGGCTCTTTATTATGTCTAGAAATCAGGCAAGTGGATATTTATTAAAAGACATATACTCTTTTGTTTTCTAGTTAAGCTGCTCACAAGGTTAGTCAGTTGTTTTACTAATTATTTAAATGTTACATTTACTGTTATTTCTGGGATTTTTTTTTCTGTGCTAATTTCACTGATACCCATGAAGGAGGTAGATATGAAATTTAATTATGTAAAGATATTCCAGGGCACTTAGGACACTTACATCTGTGGTGAACAGTCCAATCCAGTGGGCGTGTCCTAGCCGGTTGAGGACAACAGTGAGGAAGGACTGGTGATACTGGTCTGTAATGCTAACCAGCTCTGCTCCATGCATCAGGCAGGCTTTTATTGCTGCATACCAAGTCATATTTGCCTTAATTATTTTGTACGTTCTGTTTCCATATTCCAAGGTATTAGGAATTGGGTACATATCAGATGTATTCATGTGGTCTCCAGAAGTATCTACAAAAAGAACAACAACAAAATCATTTGTAGCATGTGGATGGGAAAGGAGGAGGAAAAATCTAGCATGGATCCCTGTCATGATGATCCAGGTTGACCAGAGAGTTTTTCTTCCTGAATTGACTATGTATTAAATGAGAGTACTGCCTGAAAGTATATGGGATGCTAAAAATTAGAATCTTTAAGATAATTTAATAAATGAGTTTCTTCAAATTATAAATATAGATTGCATTAATTTTGAAATATTTCCCATTTTTGACCCTCTTTTGTCAAATAGACCACTTTTAGTAGAGCTGCCGGTAGTTTCCTTAGGCAGGTTTCAGTAGCTACCAACACTAGCCTAACCCACTGTTATGGCAGAAATTCACGCTTCATGAAAGAGTATTAATATATATTGTGTTGTCATCAATTACATTGCAAAACTAGTTTTACAAGTATATATTCACTTATTACACTTTAAGACTATAAATCATTATCATATTTAGTCTATAATTTCTAAAAAGAAATTTAAAAACTCAAGTTAACAAATGCTAGAAACATATACTTCCTATAAAAAGTTACTATTAATATGTCACCTGTGAGAGTCAAGATTTATAAGTTAAAAGGGAAGTTTTTCCAGCCTGTAATTATCAGTACTTCCCTGTTTAGGAGTGGCTATGATCATGGGGAAAGAGAGTCTTCTTTGACTTACAGATATTTCCTTTTTAATATGTGTGTTTACTTTTTGTTTTGTATTACATTGTGTACTAGGATAGGCTCAGTTCAGAGCAACTAAAACATGAAAACAAAATAAAAGTTTCTGCACTATCCAAAGTGCCTTGAGTTTCTCTAGTGGGTTCACAACACTTAGGGTTAGAAAGGAACATGGCCAGGTGTGGATAGGTCAGAAGGTCTGGGGCTCAATCCCATTCCTCCTTCTAACTCGTTAAGAGACATTGAGCAAATTGAACTCAAATTTCTGGTCCATGAGACATTGATATGATCTCCCTTATAGGAGTGTGAGTAGGATTCCTTGAGATATCCACAGGGGATACATACTGTTATTCCTTGGAAACAGCAGGCACTCAATAAATGATGCTTCTTGCTTCCCTTTCCTTACTTCTAGACATAACTCCTACTCTCTACCTACTGCCCAACCCGTAAAAGTGGCAAAGTGGGAAATTGACTTTTACCTGAAACTCTTATCTCAATATAGCAACATATTGCAAAATCAAAGTGAAACTAATATATTTACCAACTTGTGAAGATTTGAATTCTATTATCAGTTTATTTATTGCTAGAAGTCTGTTTTCCAGTCTATATGCACAGTCTATGGTTATTTTTATAAAATCAATATAATAACGAAGTAGTTATTTATAAATGATTAGTGAAATTAAAGACACAAATTCTTACATATGTGCCCCAAACACCAATTTGACTGCCCCCAACTGAGTTATATATCTATATTTTTACACATATGAATTTCTTCCTATGTAATCAAGTCTATCAAATTTCAAAATAAGTGAATTTGAGCAACATGATCTTTCCATTCTTTCCCCTGAAAAAGAAAGATCTCTTGGAAGCCAAGTTCCAAATTAGGGGCTCTTAGATGTTCTTGTGGGATTTGTTTGTTTGTTTTGCAGTACCAAGGATGAACCCAGGGCAGTGTCCATGCTAGGCAAGTGCTCTACCACTGTGCTACATCCTGAACCCCAAACCGGGAGGGGTTCTTGACTTTGCCTTTCTCTTTTTATTCAGATTTCTTTGTTCTTTCAGGCAGATGAGTGATTTGTTTCAAGCCCAAAATGAGTACATATATATATAAGAAAGAAGAGCAGAACTTGTGTATTCATTGTAATTTGCAAGCATTTGTTAAGTCAAATAGTCTTAATTGAAAATACTCTATCATTCCTTAAACATGTGCTGGGAACAGTACTAAGCATTATATATGCACAGAGCATAAACGCTGAAATCAAAGTTTGCAGAAGATAAATAACTTGACAGAAGCTTGTTTACAGAGGTGGGATAGGAAACCCTGGGTGGGGCACTCCAGGGTCTCAGTTCTCACCCACCACTGCTCTACTCTGTCTCGGAAAGAACATCCCAAAATATCAGAGAGAGCAAGTGATCTGAGGTTAAATTTCAAGAAAAAATCAGTGTTACAGTAGTAGAATAGAATCATTGTGTTTAACTGAGAGACATCCATCACCCTCAAGGTAGAGTGCTAATTATTTTTTTAAGCCTCAAGTTCTTTGTAAAATGGGGAGACTTTGACCTCTTTCATAGAATTCTTTATGGTTTTATGGCATAATGCTCATAAACCCAAAGCACAGTGCCAGGTCCATGTTAAATGTGAATGTACATGCTATTCTGATATCATTTCTTCCCTTACAAGGTGCTTTCCATATTATTCTTGCCATTACTGATCCAGTATCTTCTTATAGTTCCTGGCTGTTGTGCCTCAGTGATAACTGAGAACCAGAAATGGAGCTTCTCTGGAATTGCTGAGGATGGGTTGATACTTAGCGTCCTCAGAGAGCTCACAGGTGTGCAGGACTAAGAAGTGTGATTCATATTCCTGGTAAGCATCATAGGCTAGGCTGCCTAGACTTCCACATAGCCTGATGCAAACTGCGACCATCTAGGGTGTGTGGTACCAGTGCTCAGTGAAAGGAAGCTACTGTTTCTATTTTTATTACTTGAGATCACTCAAAATGCATTCATGTTGCTTGCTGAACCCGTTGGCTATGTGTAACAGTGTGGTGATAAGATTTGGACAATAAATATCCCCTAAAAGTCCAAGTGTTAAGGGCTTGGTCCCCAGGGTTCATTGTTGAGAAGTGATGAAACCTCTAAGAGGTAAGGCCTAGTGGAAAGTCTTTAGGTCGTTGGAAGCATACCCTAGGAGGGGATTGTGGAACCCTAGTCTCTTTTTTTCCTTTCTTTTTGCTTCTTGGCTATGAGGTAAGTGGCTTTGCTCTGGTGCATGCTTTAGCCATCATGTGCTGCTTTGAAATAGGCCTCAAGCAACAGGGCCAATCAATCATGGACTAAACCACCAAACCTATGTGCCAAGATAAACCTTATCTCTTTATAAGTTGATGATCCCAGGTATGTTGTTACACTGATGGAAAGGTGATGAGCTAACACACATGGCTTTGGTAATTTATACCAGAAGTCATTGGGGGTTCTGCCTATTAGATCTAGAAACATACTATACATCATATTTAGCCACGGAGACCATTTTTAGGGTTCCAAGAAGGTGTATGAGTTGGTTTATTTCTCTGATTCTTTTCCAATGTTTTCTTGGTGACTTTTACAAAATTGCTTGAATAGATGCTGCTATGGTTTATATGTAGTTTGAATATGTTCCTTAAAAGCCACATGTTGAAGTTTCATTCTCATTAATGAGGTATGAAGCCGGTAGAGAATTTATCTGACTATGAGTTTTACAAATGGGACTTTTAGGAGGTAATTAAGATTAGATGAGGTCATCAGGGTGAGCTATCATGATTTGAATGCTGGTGGCTTTATAAGGAGAGACAGACCAGAGGGTACACTTATTCTCTCTGTCTCTTGCCATGTGATGCCCTGTGCCACCTTAAGTCTGCCATCAAGAAGGCCATTACTATATAGGAGCCCTTTACTTGGGATCAGAACCATGGGCCAAGATAGCGCTCTTTTCTTTATAAGTTAGCTTGCTAACTTTGTTATAGTACTTCATTATAGTGTCAGAAAATGGCCTAACACATACATATAATCCCAGAACAAAGCAGGAAAATTTTTGAAGAGGCCAAAGTGAATGCATAAACTTAGTCACCAGTCAAGTGTTCTCTGCAGTCCTTCAAACAAAACTAAAGGGCATAGAACCAGGGTGCTGGAAATTACATGATCATAGGTAAAGAGAAAGAATAAGTGCCTCACACTGTTAGCTGTGGGACTGCTAAGCAGTTGTGGAAAACAAATATGGAAGATAAGGGGGCTGAGTCTAAGGAAATGAAAGGAATAAAAAAAAACATATTTTTATATATGGAATAAAAAGGAATTAAAAAAAAACATGTTTCTTACCTTGCATTTTTTCACAAACAAACCCATAGCGTTCTTTTCCACAATCTTCAAAATACCATTTGCCAGTGAAATGAAAATTAGGATTACTTGACAGCAAGGCACAGAGAGGAATGTGTTTTTGAACTTCTGTAGAGTTATGACTTGGAATCTTTAAAAGAATATAAATGTTATAAAAATCTGATAATATAAAACATTGAAATTTGTATTGAGGACATTAAAAGAGCATTAATCCCTTATTAACGTTTTTTTCTCTTTTCTTTTATTTTCTTTGTAGTACTGAGGATTGAACCCAGGGCCTTGCATATGGTAGGCTAGGGCTTTACCATTGAGCTACATCCCCAGCCCCTCTTTCTTTGCATTTAATAAGTCAGTTTACAAATCTCTTCATAACCTCCAAAACAAACAATAATTGTAATGAGTAAAATAATTAGATTTATGAAACACATGAAAATTAGGTGAAATTGCATTATTAAAATTAATGTTAATAATAAACTAATATAAATTTAGACCTACAAAATATAGGAAGAAAAAATCTTTAGTAAGCAAGTCTTGAATGAGAGTTCTGGCTAAAATGATTTCTACAAAATAAATCTTAAAACTTACATTTATTACATCAAATGGAGACCAGTTAGAATATGTCACAGGCTTTCCATTTAGCCATTTTTCATAATCGTTATTTTGTAACCCTATCCACACATTAGTGTTATGGCCAAAAAGATTCATAGTGATGAAAGCTGAAAGATAGGAATACATTATCTAATTTAATACCATATAAACCATTAGGGTAATCATCAAATTCTGTTTATAACTGTAATTATATTTAAATGACAGTGAAACTTAATTATGAATCAATTGTAGGAATGTGTTACTTTGTCCTTGTTGAGGTAATGGAGTTTTTTTCTGCACTTTTGTTTGAGTTTAAATTGACAGAAATTAGCTGGATAACAAGAAATTTTATCATATCATTAACAAAACAATTTCCAGTGCTCATTCAATGCCTTTTTAAACAAAAGAGGATTTATCTATTGTAGTTAAGCTACAGTATATAATTACCTAAATATCAAATAAAAGTGTGTAGTTAAATCTAAAGGGATCTAAAAATCATACTGTGCAATTATAGTAGACTGTACTTGAGATAATTTTAGCCATTTTGAAATGCAGATCTTATTCTTTCTATTACCTTCAAAACTCAGCAGCTTATGATCAATGCAGTTTGCAGACATGTATAGATGTCATGACATAAAGCTTACTGGGTAAACTGAAAATTTATGAATCATCAGTACGATGTTTTAAATGTTGATTTGGAAACGTTAATATGTTTTGGAACATTTTAATTAATACCTGAATAAAAATTATTATTTTGGCCTAGCGGCACCCTGAATACTCTACCTTGTTCCACCTCACTTTCAATGGCAACCAGTGTCCCCCCTGTTTCAATGCAGAAGTCTTGAGCACCCATCCAGTTCTTCAGATCACTTGGGTCTTTGGGGATCCTCACCAAAAGGCACTATGAAAAAACACCAAAACAAAGTGCTCATTTCTGTAGTTTTATAAGTGAATTAAAAATTTCCCATAGGTCAACCTTGAAAATTACTTAGGCAGAAAGAACTCATTCTTCTTTCAGCTGCTCCAAAGACATTAGAGTAACCATCATATACACCTTAAAAGGGCCAATGCCTGTGTTGACATCAGGCAGATAAGAAACAAGGACGTGTCTTGTCATGTGGGATGTCAGAGCAGTGGCCATGGCTCCTCAAGAGGAGCCAGTTTGCGCACAAAGTTTGCAGTGGCAGATTTAATCTAATAAAAGAAGTCTGTGAGTGGCAAAGAACAACTTAGCTTGAATCCGTTTCCAAGCATCCTTCCTCACTTTGAGTGAGAAAGGAATATGGGGCGATGGAGCCACATCAGGTGTTTCAATTTACCAAATATGTAGAGTCAGCCATTAGGTCAGTAAGTCCACCAGAAAAGCCAGAAAAGGAAAAAAAAAAATGAGCCCAATGGGAGGAGAAGCTAGGGCAGAACTCAGGACACCCAGGAAAAGGAGAAACAAAGGAAGGCCAGCCATCAGTGTTAAATGGAACACAGAAAGGCTGTGGGATTTGGCACTGAGAGTTCATGTCTCTATCGTGGTGGGATGGGTGAGAAATGGAGGACTGGCCTGGCTGAAGATAAGCTTTTCTTCCCCACCGCCACCCCTAAAGCTCAATGAAATTTAAAATGTTGGGTAGGACTAACTGGGCTTAGGTGAGAGGGAGACACAGAAGAAAAAGGTTATAATGGAAAAGGCAAAGTTCCAGAGAAGTCAGGAGACACTTTATGCAAAGCACAGTCCATCTAGAATTTCCTGAGAATTCCTCTCTCATGCTCAATTTGCTTATCAACGAACATAGCCAACCCTAGTCTTTGATAGGTCAGATTCCAAGATCTCATTACGGAGACACTTCCAGTTACACGATGATGTCACATTATGTAGAAATCCGACTTGAGGAAGCATTCTTCCTATCTTGCCTTAGAACGATGTCCATCCTTTCCCATCATTCTTCTAAATTTGTCATTTCCCACTACTTCCCCACCATCATATACACCTTAAAAGTGAAGAGTAAGTCTTGTTCTTCTTTGTCACATCAGGGGAATGTGACTAATAAACATTTATGGAAAAAAATTAGACAACAGATCCTAAAGTGGTTATCAAACGACATCCTCGGGCATTCTAGATTGAGCCCAGTGGTTCTCAAACAGTTTAGCCCCTCAGGGATCATGTGACAATGTCTGAGAGTTGCCATACTGGCAGTGGAGTCCAGGACAGCAGCTCCACCCTGCAAGGTTCAGAACAAGTCACTAGTCCACAGCCAAGAAGTACCCAGCTCAAAGTGTCAACCGCAGGAGACCATCCTTTTCAAAACTCAGTTCTGACATATCATTATTTTTTGTTGTTGTTTAGTTATACATGACAGCGGAGTGTGTTTTGACACATTGTACATACATGGAGTATAGCTTGTTCTCCTGGCTATATATGACTGTTTGTGTATTCATGTATGAACATAAGGAAAATAATTGGACATGTCCTCCTCCTCCTTCTCTACCTCCTCCTCTTCCTCCTCCTTAATATTTTTTATTTTAGATGGACACAATACTTTATTTTATTTATTTTTATGTGATGCTAAGGATAGAGCCCAGTGCCTCACATGTGCAAGGCAAGCGCTGTACCACTGAGCCACTACCCCAGCCCGGACATGTCGTTCTTGAGTTTACGCTCCTCAGAGGGTTTCCATTGCTTTTAGGATAAAAACCAGAACCCCTGATCTGGCCTGAAGTTGAGTTTCCAACCAAAGGAGGAAGAGTATTTTCAATTCTTCTGCTTCCCTTTCCCTTGTTTGCTTCACAAAGAAACTGAATTGGCTATAAGGAGTTTAATTTTATAACAACTATCCTTTTATCTATTTCTTTTCATTCTGCCTCTTTCTTCTAATTACAAATTCCGAAGAGTGGCACACACTAATTATTGGGAAGTCTTATCACTTAATGTGAATTCACCTTGTGTTCAGATAGTCACACTAATGAACCATTCACAAATACCAAGGAACTTCATTGGTTCCGTTAGTGCATTAAATCTCTCCAGAAAAACACTCCGTCCTCGCTCCCCACATGCTTGCCTCAGCCAGGATTGACTAGCTCGGCAGTGTGGAGTGTGGCCTCCTCTTTCCACAACTTCATTGTTTCTGAAAATATAACATATTTACTAACACTCTCTGAAATGGTGTTGTTAATAATTAAAGCACAGCAGCAAGAGGCAGTACAACATCCTTAACATTGTTTACTGACTCATTTGCAAAATATGATCATCTTGTATAATGTACCTCTGATTATTGCTGTGAACTAAGGAGGTGCTATTGTTTCTCTACAAGTTTCACATATAAGATTATTTTATTCATTTATTTTGGGTCTCAAAATTGTTTCTAGCTCAACATTTGGAAATGGAATTCTTGACACTGGGTGGTTCCCCAGTGTTCCTGCTGACAACTGAATGGCACAGTTAGCACACAGTAAGCCTGGGCCCTGATAGGCATTTCACCAGCCCTCCTGCACTACCATTTGGAATTTCTGTTTTGCAAAGCACTCCCCCTTCTCCTACCCTCACTACCCAATGATCTTGGCCACCACCCTCTTAGCCCAGGTTACTAATTTTGCCTGTACTATTGCAATGGCTATCTAGCTGTTCTCACCCTGCCCACCTCCAATCTATCCTTGGCACTGATAAAACCAGAAACTCTACAATGATAACACTTGCCTACTTCTTTTGTCTCATCTTCTATTAGCCTAGTTCTTCAGTTTCTTAACTGTTATATTTCCCCTCACCACAGGACCTTTAACAAATGCTACTTTTAATGATCTTTATCTTATGACCACCTTGGTCAGGTCCTCCTATGACATACTTTTAAAGAACTGCATGACTTTATCACATACATCATGGTTTTAAATTATATAGTTATTTTCCTGGCTGGCTTATTAAAGTTTATTCTCCCTCTTGTCTGTAAGCTCCAAAAGAGAAAACATTGTGTCCTGTTTTTGAATTCTCACTATGCAACATAGTTAAGTGAAGGAATGGATAAAGTGTAAAGTGGGGACATGGAAAATGGTAACCCCCAAGACAATGTGCCCCAGGAGGAGGGAGGGAGGAAGGAGGCAAAACATTAATTCTTCCTCAGTAAATCCTTTCCTAGTGACAAGACAATCCCCGGGAAGGAGACATACATCAATCCTAAAATGGCAGTACCTAGAAAGAGGATAAGTGTTGATCCTTTCCCAGTAAATTCTTTTCCAATGACAGCAAAGCTACACATTAATCCTGTCCCAGTCACAATACGATGACCCCCAGAGGACAAGATAAGCACTGGGCACTGAGGTCTAAACCTTCCGTCCTTGCGCAGTAAAACAAGTCTCAAGGGCTGGGGTTGTGGCTCTGAGGTGAAGCAATCGCCTAGCACGCGTGGGGCACTGGGTTTGATCCTCAACGCCACATAAAAATAAAATAAAGATGTTGTGTCTACTTATAGCTAAAAAATAAATATTAAAAAAGTCTCAAATTTTTACAATCTCTTTCCTGAATGCCCCAACTGACAAGTCACCTTCAGTGTAACCTATAAAACCCCAAGCCCCTTCTATAACCGGTGACCATTTTCTACCCAGAAAGTGAGTATATCTAGGATATACTTATATAGTCATTATCACCCAGTTGTGAAAAACTAATAGTCACATACACGAATGAACAAGAAATATAAGAGTTAAACCCAAAAAGCACTTAGAAGAAAACATAGAGGTAAATCTTCATGACATTGGATTTGGCAGTGGATTCTTAGGTATGATACCAAAGCACAAGCAACGAAAGATAAAATAGATAATTGCGTTTCATTAAAATTACAAACTTTTGTGCATCAAAGGAAATTATACAGTAAGTTAAAAGACAATCTAATGAATGAGGGAAATATTTGATAGGAATTAAGTATATAGAATGTATTCAGAATTCTTATAACTCAACAATAAAAAGACAAGTAACCCAATTAAAAAATGGACAAAGAACTTGAATAGACATTTTTCCCAAAGAAGATAAACAAATGGCCAATAAGTACTTGAAAAGACTCTAAACATCATTAGCCAATAGGGAAATGCAAATCAGAGCCACAATGAGATAACACCACAGGTGTACTAGAATGCCTACACTCAAAAATGATAATAATAAGTGTTGACAAGAATGGGGAAAAATATAAATCCTCATACCCTGTTAGCAGAATTGTAAAACGGTTTAGTTGTTGTGGCAAACCATTTGTTCCTTAAAAAGATAAGCAAAGGATTACCATATGAACCAGCAATTCTACTCCTAGGTATATCTCCACAAGAATTGAAAATAGGAACTTAGAAATGTACATGTCAATGTTCATTGCAGCATTAGCCACAGTAGTTAAAAGGTGGAAATAACCAAAGTGCCCATCCACAAATGAATGGATATAGAAAAATATGGTAATTCATAGAATATGCAATGGGGTATTATTCAGCTATCAAAAAGAAGGCAGTTTTGATATATGTTAAAACATAAATGAAGCTTGAGAACACCATGTTACATGAAATAAGCCAGACAACACTGGGTGAGTTCACTTAAATGAAGTATCTAGAAGAAGCAAATTCATTGAGATAGAAAATAGATTAGAGAGGATGGGTGCAGTGGCACACACAATAAAAATGCTTTAAAAACCAATTGCCAAACGTTTTAGTAAAAGACTTAGTAACACTCATTGTCTTATTGAATATAAGTGATACAATTTTCATAATGGAATGTAAAATTTACGACTGGTAGAAAGATTCTATAGTTTGAGAAAATGGGAAATAACAGAAAGTACTAGCTACTAAAATGCTATAGTAATGTATAATCTAGAAAATATTTCATAGTGCCACCAGGCTGACTTTATCATGGGGCTAAGCTGATGTGGTAATTATTTTTATTATCATTATAACTGAAGGCTTTATTTTTTTTAAAACAGTTTTAGTTTTAGAGCAAAATTAATAGGAAAGGCACAGAGATTCCCCATAGTAACCTCAGTTCTGCACATGCAGAGCCTCCCCCATTATCATGGTCCCCCACTAGCGTGGCACATTTGTTACAATTGATGAACCTACACTGACCTGTAATTATCACCCAAAGTCCACAGTTTTCATTAGGGGGTCATTCCTGGTGTTGTACATTGTATAAGTTTGGACCAATGTATAACAAGGTGTATTCCCCCATGGAATGTCATATAGAGTATTCCAGAGCCTAAAACATCCTCTGTGCTAAGCCTGTTCACTTTTTTCTCTCCTCTCAACCCTTAATTTTTTTTTTTTTTGTGTGTGTGTGTTGCTGGGAATTAGAACCCAGGATCTTGTGCACGCAAGGCAAGCACTCTACCAACTGAGCTATTTCCACAGCCCCTAACCCTTGATTTTAAAGTTGTCTTTATATAATTTACCTTTTCTAGAATGTCATGTAGTGGGAATAATATAGCATTGGAGTACTTTCAGATTGGCTTCTTTTACTTAGTAATATGCATTTAAGGTTTTTTTTTCATGTCTTTTCACGGCTCCGTAGCTTGTTTCTTTTCAGCACCGAATGATACTGCATTGTCTGGATATATCAGAGTTCTTATTTATCCTTTCAGTTACTGCAGGACATCTTGGTTGCTAAATTTAGTAATTATGAATAAAACTGCTTTATCCACATGCAAGACTTCACACAGATGTTGTTTTCAACTCCCTTAGATAATTGTCAAGGAGTGTGATTGTGGAATGTATGGTAAGACTATAATTAGTTTTGTAAGAACATTCCTACTGTTTTCCACTGGGGCTGTACCCTTTTGCATTTCCAACAGGAATGAATGAGAGTTCTGGTTGCTTCACCTCCTCATCAGCATTTGGTGGTGTCAGTGTACTAGGTTTTGGCCATTCTAACAGAAAGGCAGTGTGTTCCATCATCATTTGCAATGCAGTCCTTAAGTTCTAATATGAAGCAGACAGTGTAGGAAAAGAGTAGGACTACCAGATTCAGGACAGAAAATGTGAGGTTGATTTTCAATCTAATGCCTGTTTACTGTGAACGTTCAGAAAGGTAACACAATTATTCAATATGCAAATTGTTAATAGTAATTCTGTATCTTTCAAAAGTTCAATAGGAGAAATGCATATGAAATTATCCAACAAAGTCAGTTGGAAGCAACCTAAATGTCTACCAATGGATGATGAATGGATAAACAAAATGTGGTATATACATACAATGGAATATTATTCAGACTTAAAAAGTAAGGAAATCATATCACATGTTACAGCATGAATAAAACTTGAAGACATTATGCTAAGTGAAATGTACCAGTTATAAAACAAATATTGTATGCTTCCACTTATGTAAGGTATCCAAAATGGTCAAATCTATAGAGATATAGAGCAGAATAGTGGTTGTCTGAGGCCAGGGTGATGTGGGGAAAAAGAATAGGAAGTTATTGTTTAATGGGTGTAGAGTTTCAGTTCTGCAGGATCAAAAGAATTTGGAGATTCCTTGCACAACAATGTGAACGTACTTAACACCAGTGAACTGTTTACTTAAAAGTGGTTAAAATGGCAAATTCGGTGTTATATGTATTTTACCACAGAATAAAAAAAATTAAAATTAAGTCAGTGTCAAATATATAGAGGGTGCTCAATAATTGTGTAGAAAATCCAAGTGACTTCATTTCATGAATTAACAATGAGAGGAAAATCACAAAGAAGGAGAAAATGCCCTGCCAACATAACGGAACACTCAGATTGAAAATTGGCTGTCCACAATTGAAGACCAATTTCATATTAGCATATGAAATTATGACACAGTTTGGGTTTTTTAATTCTCTAGGAGTTAAACAATTATAATTTGGGATGCATTTTAATTACTTCCACCTAAGGCCTATAAAGTTATTTTATTATAAAACATAAGGAGTAGAAGGAAAGTCTAGGCCTTAATTGAAGGCAGTATCAGAAATAATAAATCTGGTTTACAATATCCCCACTGGCGATTTTTTTTTCTTAAATTCAATTCTGCATGGAAGCAGCAGCTTTATGAGGCTCAAGATGACATTGACCAAGCTAAGTTATTAGTTCATCAATTCGCAGGTGCATAGAGCTCTTTGCTGATTCCAGGCAGGGAAGACACAAAAGGAGAAGACCGAGTCTGGGTCCTCTGGAGTTCACAGCTCATTTGGAGCAGAGCCTAGACACATAAGCAAGCAGGCACATGTGCACACATACGTGTGCACACACGTACACACTGCATATGTACACATACACACTTGTACACACAATACACACACCACACATGCACAAACATGCATCGAACCTGATGAAACATTCAATACAGTGAAGGGCTGTGCCAAAAATAAGAACCAAACTGAGCATATAATGAGGAGTGGTGTCAAGATTGTTTTTGTCAAAGCCTTTTTAGTTGCAAAAGATTTGTTCCTATGTGGAAAACTTCTCCAGTCTCTTGAAAGTTGGACAAAAGCAGTCCAGATCTGATGGATAACTCATGGCTTTTTAAAGTCACCCCAACTTTTTGAATACTTTCCAAAGTGAAAAGCTACAACAGAGGCAGCTCAATGAAAACAATTTTACCTTAGAGTTAAAATATAGCCATCCTTTCGGACACGTTCCATGTTCTTTTGGTATCTCTTTCTTCTTCTCGATGATCCAAAACTTGGTTCGCTTACAAATGCTAGGCATAGAGACTGAACAGTCTGCACTGCCCCAGAGTCCTGGAGGAGAGAGTGGGTTAGAAATGGCTCAGAAACAGCGGTGACTCTTTGTAGGTGTTATGTTATGCATCTACTGTGGTTTTCCAAAATTTGTTACTTTAAATATAGAAATGGAATTAAATTTAATTACTGACTATAGTGACACCAGCTATCTGGGAAAGGTGCTAAATCAGTAATTCTTAAGAATGTAAAGATTTTTTATGCAAAAAATAAATAAGTAAACGAAAGTAACTCAACTAAAATCCCAGAATTGATTAAAGTTCTAAGAATATTTGACTTGAGTAGAATAATACTAATAGAGTAATATTTTTGTTTTCAGATATACAGCTTCAATGATCAGAAAAAAAGATTCCAAAACAACAGATGATCATTTTCACTTTATTATTATTATTTTTAGAAAATTCTGATTGAACATCCTCAATCCAAAAATCTGAAATCCAAAACTTCTTAAGCACTGCAATAATGCTCAATAAGTTTCAGATTTTGAAGGATTTCAGATTTTTGATTTAGGGATGTTCACCTGGCATAACCTATTCAAATAACCCAAATCCATAAAACCCTGAAATCTTAAATACTTCTGGTCCCAAGCATTACATGTAAGGGTGCTCAACCTGTATAATAATTTAGAAAAATTAATTTAGGAACTTCTAAGAAATTAGTAGTTCTCTAGTATTGACCCTTCACAAAACCAGACTCATATAAACATGTCCACTGCAAGATACATCCTGCAGTCCTTAGCTTCCTGAAAACTGATTTTAAATGTAGAAGAGTTGTTTTCAGAATAAGTATTGTAGAGTGCATTTCATTAGCATTCGAGTAATAAATTCCAGAACAGGGCAGAATGCATGCAAATTGTAAGGGCAAGTTCAGGAGTCTAGTATCAGAAATATGAGCCAAAAAGACGCTGGCTTTAAAGTAGGGGCTGGAATGCTATTTTCAATACAGATGAGCTGCTAGTTTCCCAGACTCAAAAAAATAGCCTTTTCTGTAGGCTATTGTGACACCTGCTGGCAAAAGCAAGCTGATTAACCACATGTTGTTTTCTTTTCCTAACTCTCTGCAGAGGCCCTCCCACTCAGGTTTGCTTTCCCTCTCCTGACATGGGTCCCAGGTTAGTTATGAATCTGTTAGATTCCAGAATATTGTGATCTTTAATTAGAAAGTGTGGGAGGAGACAGTGGACAAGCAACCCCCAAAGCTCTGTGCTGATGAAAATAAAGCAGACTTCAGCATCAGTGTGCTTTTAAATCCAATTTGTAAACCCTTGCTCTCACAAAGCATGCTTAGTCAATGCCAGGTATTTAAAGAAAAGAAAAAAAAAAAAGCAAAAAAATGCCGAATTGAATCAAAATGTTTGCTAGGAAAAAATAGAAGTAAATTTCATAGAGGTTCAAGTTCTGAACATTTTTAGATTGGATACAAGAAATAGATAAAACATGGTTCTACATTGAAATTTCTTAGAGAAAACAGATTTGTCAGGCACATTTTTTTTTTTTAGCAGTCTCAATGGGCCCATTTTTGGTGCTATTTTGGCTCATGAGGAGGAACTTATCTAGATGTACATTATTTTCAAGGACACAAATACATGGATTAAATGGAAGGAATGTCATTAAGTCTTAAGATTATGACATTAAACACAGTCAACCGAAAAGTCACCAAACTCCTCCTCACTGAACTGATATAATAAAAAAGGAGATTTCAAGCCTCCAGAAAAGTCTGTATTATAAACTGAATCAAGAATAAATAAAATAACCTGTTATGGAGGAAATGAAGCCACATCTCTGGCTCTGATTATTCACAGATCTTTCTCTTTCTTTGTCCCAATTCTGGTATGTTACTGGTGATCCATCTCTCCAACTGTAGGAAAATTAAAAACTTTAAGGGTCTTTCATTTTACATCTTTAAGTATCGTTAAGCTTTAAACAGTATTAACTCTTAACACATTCTGGAGTTCTGGGGCATGGATTAAAGGTATAATATTTTGTTAAACTCAGAAAAATACTATTGTACAGCAAAGCACTTATAGTTAACAATATTGTATCATATAAATATTTTCTAAGAGGGTAGATTTTATTTTAACTGTTCTTATCACAAAAATAAGCAAAGAAATAGGGCAGGACAAAACTTTAAGGTGTGAATATGTTTATCGCATAGAATGGGGTAATGGTTCCATGGGTGTAGACTTCAAAAAATATGTCGTTGTCTAGGGAAATGAAAATTTATAAGTTAAAGATAATGTTTGAAGGTTGTTTAACAAATTGATCGCTAAGATCTAGTCTAATCATTTTGTACATAAATCTTGTCAAACAAAATTAAGTGCAAATTAATCTAGGTTCATACTGAAATTCATCGTTGGCTCTTTCTTCTTGAAGTCCAATCCACCAATTTGCACCATACTTTGATAGCTATTGAAAACAAAAAAATAAAGAAACTGTCAGCATTTATTCTCCTTGTTTTCCCTTTTCACCATTAAGATTAATGGAGTCTCGGCTAATAGCTTTCTAATCTTGAATACTTCACCCAATTATCTAAGAAAGAGGAACTAAGGCCCAGGATCTTGAGAAAGCCTGAAACTTCATTATTCTAAAATATTATCCCCTCATTATGAAGGAAAATTGGAATCAAATATTGAAATCACTTTGGGTTCCATACAACATGAAAACTAAATTTTCTAACTCTGTAAAAGGGATTTAAAGAGTTTATAAAAAGTAAAATAGAAGATGAATTCTTTTTCTGACTAAAAAAATTAGTGTTGTTTTCCTCTCAGTGAATTATAGAAGTTCATTGCAGATGTCACATTTATTTGAAAAACAATTCAAGATACAAAGACATCAATAGAATAAAGATTTTGAATTTTAGGTGTTAGTCTGATTGTTAAGCTTTAAACAGTATTAGCATTCAAATAGAGAGATAGAATACAGGACAAAAGAATACTACAGAATTCCAGTGTCTGACAACTAGAAAATTATCTTTATATGTTTTATTAATTTTATACCAGTTGTGATCCTTCAGTCTTAAGCACAAAAAGTATAAAATTGAAATACAATCTACATGCATGTGTGTATGCACACATAAACACACATTACAGCTGATATAATACTGGACTCATGACCTGGGGAATTATAATTTCTTCTTTATCCATAAGAGAGAAAGAGGGAGTTTCTCTGAGATCTCTGAGTCAGTATTTTTATGATGTATGTATTGTATGTTTGTGTTGAATTGGAACTTAGTTTTCTATGCTAAAAATCTGTTAATTTGAAGACATATATATTTAAGTCTGCACTCGTTTCTTTTGTAAAGATGGGAATAAATTTTAAGATCTATTATTTTTCTGCATGAATTTCAGGTCATCCTACAACAAAACCTAATAGCTTGCTAACATTCCAGTTTGTAAACAGGTATTTTTACTCCTTAAACAGTGTGGCTGTCTGCCATATCAGCAATTTGAGAATAATGCAAGGTGGAACAATTGTAATTTTGGATCCCTGAGGTGTCGTTTCGTGGACATGTTCCTACATGCTGAATTTAGATTCTCATTGTCAGACTTGGGAATGGGTCCATTGAGACTGGCTGGGAACTTAGTGGGAGAATCACAACAATTTCATTCCATCTAAAGAGGACTCCTGTGCCACGATAGTGCAAATCATGGCCTGATTGTTCACTCCCCTAATTAAGGATTTCTAAAGGGAAATGGTAACTATTGCATCTTAAGAGGCATATTGATTACCACCTCAAGTATGGTACAGTCATCTCCCACACAGCCCATCATAACCTGTTGTGATAAGGCACAAAGCTTCACAGGACAAGCTAGAAGATACCCAGACAGAAAAATCCCTGTGAAAAATGAATCTTTTGCATTTTAGCTTAGGTATAAGATCACGACAATAGAAACATTATTAATAAATGTGATATGATCATGAGTTTTATAAGATCAATTGTGTTTTGCTGTACCTAGATAACATCATATGGGAAGAGCTTACCAAAAAGATATAAAATACAACAGTTAATATATTTAATTTACTAAACTATATAAAGAGGAACAGCCTGTCACCTTTTAAAATGTTTCCATAGAAAATGGCAAAAACCAAGTTACCTTAGGGGCTTAAAATTAGATTTTGGAGGAGGACTAATGGATTTGATATATATTTGTAGGTATTTAGAAATAAAATTTAAAAATAATGATAATAGGGGCTGGGGCCAGGGCTCAGCTGTAGTGCACTTGGCTGGCATGTGTGAGGCACTGGGTTCAATTCTCAGCACCACATATAAATAAATAAAAGTAAATAAATAAAGATCTATCAACAACTAAAGAAATAATAAATAATGGTAATAGGTTGTTTTCATTTTGAAATGCAAATATTGTGTAATATAATATAAAATGCTAATTTGTGTTAATAATATAAAATATAATATAGCTAAGTGAACTGATGATAGGTGTTCATAACTCTTAAGTGCTTTTTACCTAAGGCATTATCTAACTATCAAGAATACTCAACAAAGAAATGCTCAAAATTCACTCTGATGATGTCTGTGGCCTTCTATTATTCAAAATTTCAGGGAGAAGACACTGGCTGATTTCTTCCACAAGATGGAAAGATTTTGTTAAAAAATTTTTTTTCTTCAGATTTTAAAAACTGTATCCTGGTTTCTGGTACATAATTCTTTTATACTCCAAGTAAACCTTTTTTTTTGTAGTTCTAATAATAACTATTCATAGGGAGGGAAGCTATATAAAACACATTCACAATTTTAAAAGCATTTAGTTACTTACTCCAGTTTTTCCTACATTTATAAGATGGATGTGCCACAGAAGCTAGTGGCATGACCTCTATGAGTTTGGCTCTTCGTTCTTGAATAAAATAATTTCTCCTAGATTGACCCATTGTTGTAGGACATTCTTAGTTATGGGATTTCTTACTTATACATTAACAGATACCATTAATACCACCATCACCCCCACCAAGACAAAGTGGCAAACATAGCAGATACAATAATTGCTTGAAAATTTACAACTTTCCTTTTTCTAATTTGATACTCTTTTCCCTTGGCCCCTGCTTTAGGCTGAATGTTTGTGTTCCCCCAAATTTACAGGTTTTAAGCCTAATCCCTAAGGGCCTTTGGGAAGGTGATTAGGTAACAAGGGTAAGTATTTATGAATGGGATTGGTGCCCTTTTAAAAGTGACCTCAGAGAGTGAACTCATCCCTTCTGTCATGTAAGGACACAGTGAGAAGACAGCTGTCTTTGGACAGGAAGCAGGTCCTCCTCAGACACTGAATTTGCCAGTACCTGGATCTTAGACTCCCAGTCTCCAGGAATGTGAGAAATAAAATTTTGTTGTCTGTGAGTCCCCCTCCTTCAGTCTATGGTATTTTGTTTTAATAGCCCAAACGGACAGAAACAGTCCTTGTTCTCCTTTCTTAGTCTCCACACTGTGTATCTTCTAGTAATTTTCTTTTGTGGCACAGTAGGCTATACCCATAAGGGCAGGTCACCTATAACCTGACAGGGCACTCTACATTCCCACAGGCATAGGTAGGGTTACAGTTTTGCTGAATAAGGCGCTGCAAGGTCTTCAACTACATTATGGCATTGGCTGTCACTTCCCAAACTGCTGAACCCATGGAGCCTTATATTTTCTTCTACGGGAGGTATTAACTTTGCTTTCTCCACTGTCTTCCTACCTCCCCAAAATTAGGAGATGAATTAAGAGGCAAGACAAAGAGGGACGACCTATAGAAATACCCAGAAGAGCTCAGCTCTATTGGAAAGAAGCCCTTCACTGCTCACATCTGAGACATAGCTGACAGCCACCTTTGGGAAGGGATTTTATAATGAGCAGTTTAATATAGTGTAGATATTGTGCTTTTATTCACCCTGATCCTGCTGTCTGCTGTCACAGGCAGCATAGTGTAGGGTTTTTTTTAAAAGATCTGGGTTCCTTTCCAAATGCCATGGTTTAGTTGCTGTGTATCCAAGTTGCTTAGCTTATTCGGAGTCTTAGCTTCCTCATCTGTAAAATATACTAATAATAGACTTTCCACAGAGGGCTTTTGGAAAGATTAAGAGGAATTAGATGTTAGGACTTAGCCCAGTGCCTGGCTCTGTTCAGTAAGTATTGCAAAATCACAGCTCCTTTTGGAACCTGTACTTTGCATGTGGTAGACTGGTTTTCAGCCATTCACCTGATTTCCTGTTATCGCCACCTACAGCCAGAGTCTGGTATCTGGCTAAAGAAAAAAATGAATTTTCTGACATTGTGGTATGTGATGTGTTAACATTGAACATGACAGTTTTGGTTGGAGTGTTCCATTTGTAGCAGTAAAGAGGTGGCAAAATAGCATATGATCCAATAGTGTGGGGGGGTGCTGGCAGTAGAGGTTGTTCTGCTACTGAGTCTACGTGGGACGGAGTGGTTGTCATCTAATCTCTGTTTCTTGGCTTTTCCATCATAAGGAGGCAGAAGTCCCAACTTGCCTGTATCTTGCTGGCTGTATGCGTAACGCAAAGGACAAAGAAATGGAAAATCTTCATGAACTGTGGGAAAAGATATTTTCCTACAAGTTCATGCTTCATTTTAACCATCAATTTACAAAGACAGGAAAAGATTATTAAAAGAGTTGGGGAGATTATGAAATATGGTTAAATTAAAAAAATGACTGGCTTTGCTTTCAAAGGTTTCTTAGGGGAAGTTAGGAGGGAGATTTTTCCTCCTTAGAGCTGCCATTTTACTTACTGCATTATCATTTTTAGCATCTTATTTTATAATTCTGAAAAAAATTGGCACATCAAGTATATATATTTATCATGTGTAACATGATGTTTTGAAGTATATGTGTATATATATATTTACATATATATATATATTGTGTGTGTGTAGTGTGTGTGTGTGTGTGTGTGTGTGTGTGTGTGTGTATCTCCAGCTTCTTTGAAAACTGAGACTGTTTCCTACATTTTTGTGTCAATGACAAATCTCACAGTGCCTGGAACATGCTCGATATTTAGAAAATCTTAACTGTAGGCATGCACTGAAGACTATGTTATTCCTTGGCAGTTTATTTTATTGTTTATCAGGTCAGGTCTTGTATGTTCCTAGTTCCTCAAAAGATTCAGGCTGGTCTTTTATCTTAAGTGGAAACTGAAAACTGTAATTTTCTATATGTTGAATCTTTACAAATTTAAAAGTTATATATTCATGTAACATTTGAAACATCAGAACTGTCATCCCTCCCCCCAATCAGGCATTCCTCATCCTTCATTTGAGCTATATTTTCCTTCATTGAATTTATCCACTTATGCTTTTTTAATGTATTATGTAATTCTGTTTACTTGTATTGATTATGATCTTTCATCCCAGATTAGATTATAAACTCCATAAAGGAAGGAATTTTGGTCAGTTTTAATCACTGATAGAATCTTAGTTCCTAGAGAGCTCTCAATAAATATGTGTTAAATAATCAGTGCACTTACAAAACAATAAACTTTACTTATTCACTATCGTTGCTAATAAATAATGAGATGTGAAATGATTAAGCAACATAGTAAATCTCTCTAGTATTTTCTCTTAATCTCTATAACTGGAAGAAAAACAATTCTCAAAAATCCATGGCTTTTACTGAAATTTAAATGAATGTCTGAAGTCAAATTAAAAAAAAAAATCCTGTACAAGGACAGAAGAAGGTGCTAATGAGAAATTCTCAAGGTGAATTATATTCAAGTACCGCTCTTATTTTGCTGTGGATGAATTCTTGCTCATGTGCAGAATGAATTGTGAGAAGATCACTGCGCAGCCAGCCACAGACAAACTCAAAGGAGGACCACTCGGAGGCATAGGTATGAAAAAGGTACTCTGCATCCTGATAAAAGAGCCAGGGCGCATCTGAAAGAAAAATAAACCTGCAAATGGTGCCAAATCTGTTGAGGGTTATAATACACATGATTGACATCAAATTTGTAATCTGGTCAGGACATATGCACACAAACACAATCACAGACATGCACACATATAAATAAATACATAATTTACTTTTTTTTGTTCTACATCATATAAGAAACTTATACTAGTATTCAAAGGTCAAGGGTGGATGATATTTTAAAATCATGTGTCATAAAAATGGAATTAAGTTATGATATTAGTCTTCAATCATATTTAATGACTTCAATTATTAATTAATCAATTAATTATTGACTTATTAATTTGAACAAATTAGCTCTAGATTTACATGAGAAAAGAGAGGCTCAATTGGAGGAAGGTGATAATATAATAAAGGTATATAATAGCACCTAGATAGTTTATAATTAGAGATTTGAGAAATGCCAAGGTAGTTCTTACCATACTGGTACCATGGTGGAATCTTGGGTCTCACATCTGTAAAGTGAAAGCAAACCACCTTGACTGACCTTTCTTCACAGGTGTCTCTGACTCACTTCAGCTCTACACATACTATAGTTCACTTCACCTTAAAAAACAATCATGTAAAAAACAGGTACTTTGTGTTGTTTGGAATATGGTCAGTTCAAGTTGCATCTTAAAAAAGGAGGCTCCAGAGAGTTTTCTTTCTTTCTTTTCTTTTTTTTTCCAGAGAGGTTTCTGATTAAAGAAGAAAGGGCACGAGCCTACTGCGTGTTACATGCTGTGCTACGGGCTTCTACTTACTCATGGTCCAAGTAATCCTATTTTTTTTTTTTTATCGTTCTGGGGATTGAACCCAGGGCCTTGTGCATACAAGGCAAGCACTCTACCAAATGGCCTATATCCCAGCCCCAAGTAATCCTATTTGCTTGTAATGTCAGTGACGTTTCTTTCCAACTGTACTTGCATAATAAATATTCTGTAATATTGGCCGTTTGCCCTAATTCCCAGTGGACTAATGGCATACAGCACTGGTGGTTATCTTTCATCAATTCCCTGTGATGTATTCTTTACTGAAATAGTGCAACTTGCTCCATCATGCAGGCTGTTGGCGTTGTGGTTCAGGGTGCTTTGATTTTGAATCTCTAGATCTCTTCACTAGGGGAAGTGTTATACACATTATTAGTTCAAGCATAAAGTAAAAACCTTATTAATATTTTTACCTCTTGGGATTTTGCATATCCATTCACGGCGGGAACCACAGTGTGAGGGCAGCAATGTTTTATTTGCTTTATACACAGCACAATTTCTTGCATCTTCTTCAAAATAAATACTGTCTAAAAATGAAGAGACAACCTGCAGCAGATGAAGTTTGTTATTCCTTAACGATTGAAGTTTCAGAAGATCAAAGAAGAATTCCGTGCACATAATCATTATAGATTTCTAGAGGAAGCTTCAGAAATGTTTGCTTGTCGTTCTAGTTAAAAGTTGTTCCACATTTGTGAAGAACAAGCTAATTAGTGTTTAGCATCTTTTTTCTTAAAGATGCTATTTCTTAAAAAGGGGGCATGCGACTTCTTTCTCCAGAAGGAAGAAATCTGGTGCAAGCTTTGTTCAGAGTTAGCACTATTTTCTAACTGGCAGGATTAGTCTCACCCTGGGATCCTGGGTAAACTTCTTAGAGGCACAAGAATGAGCCAGATCTGGGCATCACCTTTGATGTTGGTTCCTTTGTGTATATGCTAAGCTTTTAGTTGCTCATAACTAAATTCTAATCCACAGCTAGCTTTTTAGTCAGGAAACTACCAAAAATTTCCATGAGTGACCACATAGGTCATATAGCTCCATAATTCATAAAGATTTAGCCTTTCAACTATTTAATGCTTATCTGACAGAAGAGTGGATGGATCACAAGTAAAATTGCGATTAAAAAATTGGAAAAAAAAAGGATGTGTGAAACCATTTATAATCCTCCTCAAATATATACAGTTGTGCAACAATTTATATTATATGCTTCAGCATTTCCACTGCCTTAGGGAAAATGTGAGAATTTCTCATTGTACCTGAAAAGAGAACTCAGTGGTGAGTTCTCTCTCTCTCCTTCACATAGGTTTGCAAATAATGAGGCTGAATGAACAGCTATACTTCCCCCGCCCCCTACTTCTGGAACAATTTATCTAACATAAATATATTTATCCTCAGGTTCAGAGAATGTTGTGAATTCATTCTGCCCAGCAGGAAGTGGTCATAGGACCTCAGTCTATAGTTTCACGGCCTTTTTGTCATTGTTTTCTGAACCATAGTCTTTTTTCCTCTTATTACTAATGAATGTGTTTTAGTAAAACAAAATGAAGTATCCTCAACTTCTATGTAGCATGTTTGTTTGTCTTTATTTTTATTTTTTGGAGTACCAGGGATTGAACTTCACTTGACAACTGAACCACATACATCCCCAGCTCCATTTGGTATTTTATTTAGAGACAGGATCTCACTGAAATGCTAAGCACCTGACTTTTGCTGGGGCTGGCTTTAAACTTGTGATTCTCCTGCCTCAGCCTCCAGAGCTGCTAGGATTACAGGTGTGCACCACCACACCCGGTGCATGTTTGTTTTTTTAAGTGCTGTATTGACTTTAATGCTCAATTGTTTCTTGGCCTCAGTTTCTTCATTAACAAAATAGATGCAGCTGAGTGATCTCTAAGCTGTCTTCCCACTCTCGCTCCTTATACCTTTTCCAAAGAAGCAATATTGGAGCAGAAATATTATTTTTGTTTTTTAACTAGCAAGCCTTTATCATTATTTTTGTTACCATTAGAAGCACAGATTTTTTTTTTTAATAAATCCCTTCCTGGCTACAAATTTGAGTTCCATCTATGTAGTGGACTTTTCTCTATTGGTCTTTACTATTTCAAAGCTTGGCAGCTGATATTTTGCCAACTAGGAAATATCAAATATTGTGGCTCTGGAGTCAGACCACCTATATGCAAATCCTGACTCTCTTCTGCATTATTCTGGGCCACCCACTCATCATTTATTGCCCACTGCTGTGAGCCATTGTGGGGATGAAATGAGATCATGCAGGAGTGCATTCAGCTTAGTTCGTGGAACACTGTGAAGGCTCAACAAACAGCAGAAGCATTAAAAATTCACGGCAGGATCTTACTAGTCTCCCTGTTTCTCAGGTGAAACTGAATAACTTGATTTTGCACATGCCCTAGGATGGATCCATTTTGGTCTCAGATATTATATGCTTCAGTATTTCCACTGCCTCAGGGAAAATGTGAGAATTCCTCATTGTACCTGAAAAGAGAACTCAGTGGTTCTTTCTCTCTCCTTCACATAGGTTTGCAATTAATGAGGCTGAATGAACAGCTATACTTCCGCCCCCCCACATACACACAGTTCTGGAACAATTTGTTCTACCTGAGATGGAAGTGATATTTCTAAGGCTGACATTTCTGTCCTTTTAGAGTGGTGTGTTAGTCAGCTTTTTGTTGCTGTGACCAAAGTATCCAACAAGAACAACTTAGAGAAGGGAAAATTTATTTTGGCTCTTGGTTTCAGAGATTTAGACCATAGTGGGCTGAATCCAGTGCTCTGGGCCCAAGGTGAGGCAGAAGAGCATGGTAGAGGGTAGCTGCTCAGTCAGGATATAGCAACCAGGAAGCCAAGAAAGGGGAGGAGGGGAAAGGGCCACAGAAAAGACGCACCCTTTTCAGAGTAGACCCCTAGTGACTCACCTCCTCTAGCCTTACCCTGCCTACCTCAATTACCCAATCAGTTCACTCAAAGAAAGATGGACTGGTTAGGTTACAGCTCTCATAATTTAATCATATCACCTCTGAATATTCCTGCATTAACACAGGAGCACTTGGGGGACGCCTCATATCAAAACCATAATTGTGAGATAAACTAAAAACAGTTTTCCAAAATAGTCTCCTTTTCATTGTGACATGGACAAGGGTCCCATGCTGACACAGTCAGGCCATGTGCAGGCTAGGAGGGGTAGGGTAAAGGAAACCTGGCATTATTTTACAGAATTGTTGTTTTTCTACCAAATGACTCTTCACATAGGAAATGGTTTGGGAGGACTTTGGGGGGGATTTTGATTTCAGAATGATACACTATAGGCAACCTTAGAACAATCTGGTTAGTGAAGGTTTTCCAGGACCTTGACAAAATAATTCTTTTGGTACCATGGTCCAGTGCCATGTGTCATAGGAGAATAAGGGTCATTATTTCTAGGAATCATTTAGAAAACCGACCAAGTTTACCAAGTGGTTCCAGGGCCACTGTTTTGAATTCATCTCCTTTTGTCCAGTTTGGGAAGACTTACAGGAGTTCCATCAGACCACTCCCACGAACCAGCACTTAGTGGGTTTCTTTTATTAAATCCAATCCAGAACTGCCTTTCTTCTGTCCTAAGAAGAGAAGAAACAAAAAATTTGCCTTTCTGATCAAATTTCCATTATGTAAAAAGGTTCAAAAAGTCTTTTAAAATATTTATATGTGCAGGAAACAGCTGATGCTACTGGCAGGATTGAACCAATCAACACAAACTGATTGAATATTTTTAATGGCAAACCCTGGGCTACAAAATGAGATGGGATAAGATTTAGAGTCATGTCCTATTTCTCTTGGTTTGTGTGGCTTGTTCACTGGTGATGTGCAGATGGAGAAAAGTTAATGCATATTGAGGACATGGGGTTCTTATCAGAAATGGTGATGGTCTCAGGAGAACACATGAAAGCAGGTTGGGAAGAAATTTTGGAAAATATTTTTCCTAGAGGACTTTTTACTACTTTATGTCATATACAACATTACTATTTATACTTCTTTTCTGTGGTTTGATTTTGTTGCTCTTTTGTTAAATTCTCATGTATTCTCTTGAAAGTAAATCACCATCATTCCCACTTGATAAAAGGTACACAGTAGGGTTTTTTTTTTCAGATTACAACATAAATAATTCTGCAGCAAATCAGCCTGGGCCATGGTAGATTAACTTCAGCAGTCACCACTGGTTTAGACTTGGCAAGAAGCTCCTCAGAGAATAATCTTCCCTCCTATTAGGCAGAGTACAAATATGTCAAATCTCAGAGTACTCAATAAATCAAGCAATAAAGCCTAATTGTACAATGAACCATCTCACCAAGATAATTTTCTGAGAATAATTTTGAAGAATTAAAGATTTAAAAGATTCAGAAGTCATGGCAGATGCTTTATTTTCCTTAGTGCAGAGAAGCAAGCCTACTCTGAAGCATTGCTTCTGAAATACGTGAGCTACTCTGCCTGAATGATATAAATTAAAGTCCAGTGCAACTTAGTCTGAGCTGTGCCTGTCCAGTCAGTGTCCAGGTGACACGATGCAGTCAAGGTAGTGAGAAGGTGAGAATGACTGCCCTAAGGTTAAGTCAAGTCTATTAATCACCAAAATAGGCTGGAAATCCAACCCACACCTCTCTCCCCAGGCTGAGAATTTTTGTTTTCTTTCTTCACTGAATTCAGAGTTCTTCATTTTTCTTGCTGTATACTTGCTCATAGAAGACAAGTTGATACTTATTTTCTCTCCATAAATTCCCTCACATTGTATAATTTAAAAATAAACACCATGCGCATGATTTGACTGAATTCCCTTCTATAGTCTGGGCAAAAAATAAATAAAACATATATTATATAGTTTTTGTGATTAGATGCTGAAGATCAATGATTTGATAGATGCTTGGCATGAAATTCTACTAGAAATTATAAGTGTGAGAATTTATGTAAATAGAAATGACATAATGATATTTAATCTTAAGCTAGGAGGTCTTTTGCATGTGATTATTTTATTTAGCAAACCTCGCCAAAATCAAAGGGCAGAATATGCAAATATATTTTATAAGGAACTAAAGCAACAAACCATGGCATAATTTACCACCCCTCCCTTGTATCTGTGACCCCACACCTGGTTTAATAATCCAGTTTACCCAGCCGGGCACAGTATTGCATGCCTGCGATCCCAGCAGCTTGGAGGCTGGGCAGGAGGATCACAAATTCAAAGCCAGCTTCAGCAATTTAGCAAGGCCCTAAGCAGCTTATAAAGACTCTGTCTCAAAATAAAAAATAAAAAGGGCTGGGGATGTGGCTCAGTCATTAGGCACCCATGGGTTCAATCTCTAGAAAAAAAAAATACAGTTAGCCAGAAGTTTCTTAAATATTAGCCTCAGAAAGTCTGAGTTGGCAGCTGTGATATGGGACCAGAGTGTGGTGATTGGCCAGGCTCTGGAACCACTGTCTCCAGTTAGCATTTCCTGTAGGGACTAGCAGTTTTGGTGGGATGTTAATAAGTGTTCTCAAAAAAAAAAAAGAATTATAGGTAGGCACAGTGGCACCACATGTAATTCCATCTACTGGTGAGGCTTAGGTAGAGGATTGCAAGTTCAATGTTAGCCTGGGCAATTTAGTGGGAACCCTTCTGGAAATAAGAAAGTAAAAAGGATTGGAGATGTATGCAGTTCAGTGGTATGTGTGTGAGGTCCGGATTCAATCCTGGGTACCACACCAAAAAAAAAAAAAAAAAAAAAAAAAAAATTAAATAACAAAGAAAGTGCTTCCTTCTCAAAAGTCTTAAATAATAATATACATAGCAAATTTCCAAGATTGCACATTGTTTTGCAATCATATTTAGCCACAAAATATCTTTTCCCCATGGAATACTATATGAAACTAAGTGGGGGAGGTTGTCAAAACTCCCACCTTTAGGACCATGAATGTGGTTTAGTGCTTACCAGCATGCCCGAGTCCCTGGGTTCAATCGCCAGAACCACAAATAATAATAAAATGGAAATTGTCTTTGTCCTGTATTTCTTTCCCATCAAAAACACACAAAAAACTTCGACTTTAAGGTTATTTTTGTAAACACTAAAGATGAACAATTCAATAGATGTTATATATTAACTTCTTCATGGGAGTGTCCTGCAAGGAAACTTATGGGGAAGGATAGGATTTTCCTCAAAAAGTAGTTTGGTGTTAACCCAAGAATTGAATTTCTAACTCCATGGAACTCAAGATTATATAAACTTACAAATAGACACAAATAAGTGAAAACCTCTTTCCTCAAATTTAAAATTACAGGGTTGGATTGGACTTTTTTTTTAAATATTAGGATTTGGGGGCTGGGGTTGTGTCTCAGTGGTAGAGCACTCACCTCGCATGTGTGAAGCACCGGGTTCGATCTTTAGCACCACATAAAAATAAATAACTTAAATAAAGGTATCGTGTCTATCTACAACTAACAAAATATCTAAATAAACAAATAAATAAATAAATAAATATTCAGATTTTACTAGGATTCCCCCCCCCCCCCGCAAACAAAATTTTGAGTGGAACTCCTTTTATATAGAAAATAATTAGCAATGGCAATGGTTGGAGCTACTCTGGTGAGTCAGTGAACAAGGACCTGGAGTGCTGTCCATTTGGCCCCCTCTGTTTTTGGCGTCCAGGACCTTTGGGATAGTCAGACAACACTTTGAAAATCACTGACCTGGATATTGTTTGGCAGAAAAATTCTAAAAATCTGACTTGAGGTACACAGAAAAGATTTCAAATATCAAAACTATCATGACTATTTTCTTTGTTTTATGAAATGTGAGCTTGATATAATATAATGTGTATGTAGATTTTTTTCCCCCACAATTAGTGACTAGTTTTAGGTTTGAGACAAAATATTGGATTTTAAACAATTATTTGTGATACTCACCCATGATAAGCCCTTACTAGGAGATGGTCTATAATTTTTCAAAATTACAAAATATTTACCGATTAAATTTTGAATGTAAAAGTTCATTCACAAAATTTTCTTCCTCAATATGGGCAAAGCTTGCAAGATGAGCTCCAAATTCTTCACAAAATGCCTCAGCTTCTCTCCATGTTCTTTTCATCAGAACTTTTTCAATATGAAATACCTGCATAATAAAAGAAAAATATTAACACTGTGGTGGACTGGGTGTGGTAGTTCACTTCTGTTTAAGAAAATAATAGTGATATGTTTTTTATTATTCTTTTCCTTCTTTTTTATCATACTGGGATGGAACTGAGGTCTTCTCCCATGTTAAGCAAACCTTTTCATTATTATTTATTGAAAGCTTGACCTAATGGAAGTATCATTTATTGAACTAGAATGTGCCTAGTCATTGTAAAACTATTGGCTCATTTTATCCTTACAACCAATTCATTCGGAGAATATGAATAAAACTCAGTTTTATAAATGAGCTAATTAAAGCTCTATGTGTGTGGGTATGTGTGTGTTGTTGATGGATCTTTTTTTATTTATTTATCTGTGGTGTTGAGAATTGATCCCAGTGCCTCACACATGCTAGGAAAGTGCTCTACCACTGAGCTACAGCCCCAGCCCCTAACTGAAGCTTTTTATTAAAACAAACAAACAAACCAACCAAAACACCAAAACTTAATCTCCTATGACTTGCCTATATGACTGTTCGGCAAAAGATTAGATAGGTTGAGCTAAGCAAGGTTAAGAATTTCTAGCCACACAGCTACAAACTGGCAGAGCTATGATTAGACCCATGACTCCTTGGTTCCTGAATCCATGAATTTCCATCTCAGTAGACTGCTTTCTAACAGAATTAGCTGAATGTTATGGGATGTTCCCCAAATGTGTTGAAGGCTTAGTTTCCAGCTGGGGATGCTGTTGGAAGGCCATAAAAACTTTAGGAGATAGGATCTAACTGGAATAGGTGGGCCACTCTGAATGTGCCTTTAAAGGGTATATTTTGTTCCTGGGTGCTTTGTCTCTCCCGTTCCTCCCAACCCCCACTCTTTTTCTCTGTTTCCTGGCAGCTTTGCTCTACTTTGCCCTCCCTGACAGGATGTTCTGGCTTACAGTAGGCCTAGAATCAAGGGGCCAAGTGACCATGGACTGAAACCTCTGAAATAATGAGCCAAAATAAATTTTTCCTCTTTTAAAGTGGTTTATCTCAGGTATTTTTTCACAGCAACGAAAAGCTGATTAACAATATGATCACGAATCTAGCCAGGTATATTTATAGGGTCTTTGGGTCTTAGCTGAACTGGCAGATGCAGTGATCCGGTTATATCTAAAATATCTGCTATTTCTCTGCTACCTTCAGGGTAGCAGGAAGAAACTGATTGTAGGGAGGGTCTGTTTTTGGTTTTATTTAAGATCAAGGTGAGGGACTGAAGACCCAGAGCTCCTGATTCTGGGCCTCTGCATCCTCTTAATTTTAAATATCCAGTACTAAGCCTGAACCACTTTTGCCAGGCAGATATACCCTGCAGTCAACCTTCACCAGGCTCTGATTTGCTGAGACCAGAATGAATAGCTTTCCAAGTCCTGTGGACCACAGCACAGCCTTTCCATCTTTTAAATTATATGTCAAAACTTGCCTCCTCTGGGAACATCTTCCCGAATCACTCTAAATTCATAAATCCTACCACCATGCACATCAAACATACCATGCATTTGTTGACACATTGGGATGATATATAGTAGAGAAAGTGCTGGACCAGAGACTCAAGACCAGGGATTTATTCCAACTTTGTCAATAAATAATTGTGATCTTGTGCAATCACTTCATTTCACTAGCCTCAGTTTACTCATTTCTAAAGTTTAACTTATAGTTCTATGAGGTCCCTTGTGGGCCTATTATTCTCTGAATTTAGTGTGGAATTTTATATGTGTATATTTAAACAGAGTGCATTCATAAGTGTTCCACGTAACCGATGAGCTACAATATCTGTGGAGTTAGAGTTTGTCTTCATCCTGCTCTGCATGTGCCCAGCTACTAGAGAAGAACTTTCTTCCAGGACTTGGGGAATTTCTATTTACAGAACAAACCAAGACAAAACATCATGTTTCAAAATGTATTTTTGACAAGAAAATTGTAGGAACTGATTTAAAGCTAGGATCTAAAGCTGATTTGCACAGACATATATAAATATATATTTTATGTAAATATATAAAAAATATAAATATATTTGAGCATCCTTAACTTAAAATGCTCTAAAATCAATGACAGTTCAATGCCCACAAACTTTATTTCATGCACAAGATTACTAAAAATACTGTATAAAATTACTTTTGGGCTATGTGTATAAGTTGCATATGAAATATGAATGAATTCTGTGTTCACATTCAAGTCTCATCTCATTATGTACATGCAAATATTCATATCTGATATATCATTATGAATATGCAAATATCCCCAAAATCCAAAATTCAAACCACTTTTGGTCCCAAGCATTTTCAGTAAGAAACACACACACTTACACATACACACATACACAGAGTCTTTTTCTTCAAATACACACATACACAAACACACATATGCATGCAATCTACACACAAACATATTTATATATTAACTGAATGTATTAATTTGTTTTATCTTTGGTATCTGGCAAGCTGCAAAGGCTATTCTTAGTGGCAAAATTGTATTATTCCATAATAAGCACTTTATTCACATTTTTACAAATATGGAATTTTACTATTTTAATACCCAGTGAGAACTGGCCTCCTTTATCTGGTATGTGCCTGGCAATAAGAACAATATTGACAAGGGTTTCAGTATTATATAGGATCCTAAATGACTTTGGCTAACCCAGCTCTTCCACTTCTTGATAGCAATTTGGGGGCAGAATGCAACATCCTGAGGGAAGGAGAAACTGTCCTTATTCCTCCTAGAACAGGATGTCTTGTAATGCTTTAGCCCAGTAACCCAAGTGGTGTCTGAGGTCTAAACCCACAGAGAAATGCCTCTTTGAATCTCCCAGCTATGGTGCAAAGTAGGGCATGTGCAGACGCGAGTCCATCTGCCCTGAGCAGTTTTCCTGTGGTTTGGGAGATGGGCTTGCTAGGGATCCTAGGTTTCTGTTGTTTCTTGCAGCCCATCTGTGAATAATGAGGTTGCTTTGCCTGATTTGTTGAGTGTTCTGTCTCACTGGACTCAGACTCTGGCAGCTGAGTTTGTGCAAAATCTCCTGCCAGAGAAAAGAAACTTACTAGCAATTTATCAGGTGTTTAGAGTCCTCCCCCAGAAATGATAACCAGTGCATGGAGTTTCCCTCCCTGGGGTCAATACTGGTGCATGGTATTTCTAATTAACAGATAATCTTCATGAGAAGGCCTTCTATATCACCAGGAATATGCCAGTTTTTACTTAAAAATTATTTGAATATAAATGAAAGGATATAGACAGGCAACAAATATTGATTAAGTACCTGCTGTGTGCCAGGCACTGTTCGGGAAAACAAAGTGTTGGAATAAAGGAATTTGTGATACATGGATCAAATTGAAATAATGATACTGTGAATGCTCAAGTAACCTTGGTATCACCTTGAAGCAACTGGTCAGGCCAGGCTCCGACTCCCAGTCCAAATAGCAGGGGTGAAAGGGCCATCTTTCTTCATGCTCAGTTTTGTCCCGATTTTCGATTGGCTGCTTGCACAAGGACATCGCCTTGAACCGTCTACAGTCCTTCACTTCCCAACGACCAAGTGGACTACTGCCTCGCATGACAACACAGCCACCCCTGGATCCTATAAAGCAGAAAACAAGCATTTAAAATACCAGACTACAAAAACACAATGTGCTCAAAAGACAGCTCTTCAGAGTGTTGAATAATTGACATCTCACATTGAAGAACCCAGACAAGAACAGTAAAGATTAAAAAAGGATGCTTTATTGGCATGATTATCTCATTTCTCTTCATCTCTGGAGAAAAGAAGATAGAAAAATGAGAGAAAAGAGGCTGTGAAGCCTGAAATTTGGACATTGTCTACTTTCAGCTCAAATGGCAAATCATGGGAAACTAGGAGTAGTTTCTACATGGAATGGCAATATCCCCCATAGCTCAATGCTGTGCTTTAAAATCCCATTGTAAAAAACCAACAAATCAAAGTGTATATTGCTCATCCTCTGAGAACTAGAGTCAACAGGGGAAAATACATAAATAATGGATTCAAGGTAGACTACAAGGTACACAACAAAGAACCAAACTATCAGCCATAAACCATGGGAGAATGGAGGGAATGAGATAAATTCTTGAAATGGGAAAAAGCTTTGGGGGCAGAACAGGGGGCAGACATCAGGAAAAGCAGGAGGGGTAGGTGGCTTTTAAATGAGAAGCTAAATTCAAAGATCCACCCCGCCTCCCTGCATAGTTTGTGTGGAATATTGGGAAAAGTGATAGACTGCTTAGTTATGGCCCAAACTTCATTTTTTTTCTTTTAGGCTTGTTGAATGTTTTATCATAAGAACTATATTTTTGCATAGAAACAATTTGCAAATTGATTTAAAAATTTTAAGTTTGTCAGCAAAATCTCCTAAGACTGCTTAAAAAAAAAATCCTTCAAATTTCAGCGAAGAGAAGTAGAAAACAGTTCTATTCTAAAAATAGAATAAAAATTAAATACGAATGAACTTATTTTTTCTTGAATCCAGGGTAACCATTCTATGAACTAAATCAACATTCAGCAACCACAGAAAAGCATGTATCCTGGCTAGAAAGGAGACAGACTAAAACAGACAAGAACCAGCTCTTAGTTCGAGAAACAGATTTATAAACAATGGCAATAGACACTTAGGTGGAGGCTTCAGAGGACCAGGGCAAGCAGAGGCAGCAGTGGTGGATTCTGATTGTGACTGAGCCCCCAGCCCCTGGAATATGCAACCCCAAGGAGCCTCCAGGTAAGGACACCATGGCAAAAGATGGGTGGGAGGCTTCAGAGGGGTGATGGAGCCTGTCTGGAGAGATCAGTCAAGAATTTGTGGAAAGGGGTCTTTGAGCTGAGTTTTTCTGTACTAGAGATTGAATCTAGGGCCTCAAACATGCTAGGCAAGCTCTTTACCACTGTGCAATATCTTAAGCCCTTGAACTGAGTTTTGAAGGATGAAAAAGAACAGAATCTTCTAGGTGGGCTTCTTGAAAATAGCAAGCCATAATGGAGGAAGCATCTGAAGACTTGTGACGATTCTGGACCTAGAGGCACTTAAAAAAATGTAGTCACTTGGTACTAGATATTTATCTTGCTGAATTTCCCTTCACAAGTAATGGATTCAATTTTTTGTTTTAGCTATCAGGTAACTGGCATTACCCTTGTCAACCATGTTTTGATTGTTTTATGTTCACAGAAAGATTAACAAGAGGGAAATGAAGAATGGAAGTGAGAAGAAAGAAGGTAGAGGAAAATGAACAAAGAACCTCTCATGGAGGAAAGGAACAGAGTTTGATGGAAGAGAGGAAAGAATAATGAACTGAAGAATGGATGCTTGACTTGGACAATCAAGGGTGCACACCATGCCTTAGGTATCAGGCATCGTGGTGACAAGATAGTCTACAAGACACAGACTTGTGTATATGTGTATCCTGATGCATCAAAGAGACTCACAGAGGTGAAAATGGCCAGACATAATGGAGGAAACATGCTAAGTATGGCTTGATGAAAAAGTGTTGAGAAAGAAATTCGATCCATACAAAGGCCAACAGGTTATCTCCACTGGCCCAGAAGAACTAGTTAGAACTAAAGATGGAGAGTTGAGGGGTAGGCAAGGAAGAGAGTTTATGGTATGTTATTGCCTCTGCCATAATTGGAGCTTTGTAGGCCTATTGAGTCTAATTTTGGAATGTAGCTCACAGCCAGCTGGGTCATGAGCAATAGGGGAGATGGTGCATGCTTTGTGCAATGAACTTGAACTGTGGAAATCCATATGGAAGCCCCAAATGTAATATACTTGTGGAACTGTTCTAGTTGAAAAAGGAAGGAAAATATGCATCTTGCCTGACTCGGATGTCCTTCCTTTGAGACAGCTTAGTGGAATATACATTTATTGCATAACAGAGGTAGAAAATCTCCAAGCAAGAACTTCTGACTTGGAACTTGAGGTCTGGGGTTCTAATTCCCAGCATAAATAGTAACTTGAAATTTGAGAAGGTTAATTAATTGCAAATAAGGCTTAGACATATGGACAATAATTTCTTTATTTTTTCCTCCTGGGTTTTCATGAAGATCATATAGGATCATGTATCAAAAAGCACTCTGTAAGATAGGAATAGCCCCAAATACCCTAGGATGTTACTATTCTTCTTATGGTCATTTTCATTATAAAAACTGGGATTTTGTGGTTTGAGTTTCTGCCTGCACATTCAGAGAATTTTTTAAAAGTTTGAATCAGCAACTTTAAAATGTAATATACTTTTTTGTTGGTCTTGCATTTCGTCTCACTTCCCCACATCAGACAATGATTAAATAGCTTTGGTTTTAGATGCTATAGATATTCAGCTCATCTTCATTAGTGAAGAAAGAGATGTTTTCGAACCACCACAAAGATGAAAAGTGCTGCAGGCATGTTATTGGTATTCTAAAGTGGTTAACTTAATGGAACATTTGACCCAAATTTTAGAGTCTCAGCCCCAAAGAAGCAGTAAAGTGGAGTAATAAAGGGAGGCTGGGCTACGGGAGATATAAACCAAATTTATAAGCCAATTCATGGGGATGCTTGCAAAGCCAAATCATAAGAGGAGGGAAGTGAGAAAGAGTGGAGGTGGTTTTTCTCCCAGAGAAATTGTTCTTACATTTGATAGCTCTTCTCATTGGAGGAAAACTATCATTGCTTTTCTCAGTGGTGAATCTCATATTTCGGCAGACTCTCTTTACCTGCCTTAGCCTCATTTCTGTTCACATGAGTGGAAAAACATTCTATAATTAACATTCTCTAATTCATTTTTCTAGTCTCTTCCATTATTCTCCACCTCTTATATCTCTGGTCAAATACCTAAATATAAAGCAAGCAACCAAGCCAACCTGTGGCTTCAGGGCAGGAGGGGACTGTGCCAGGCAGACCTCTCTGCCTCTGAGTGAATATTTTACTTGAATCTCTCTAGTTATTCTCCCCTTCCCTGCAATAACCCTCTCATATTCTCACCTCTCAAGTCCTCTGCCCTCCCCATCTTCCCACTCCTTCCCTCTCTCCTTATCTACAGAAAAAAAAGTGGAATTCTGCAGGCAGGGAAGCTGAGCTTTCATAGCTCTGTACCTTTGCCAGGCACTGTGTTATGCATTTATATGAATTTTCCCTTATTTAACTTCAGAAGCTCATTGAGGCAGTGATTAGCATCTGCATTTTGCACGTGGAAAAGTTGAGGCACAGAGGTTAGTGAGTTGCCACAAGCCACATAGTGAGTGTTTAATCCAGGATTTGAAATCAGATTTACTTGAGACTATTATGAGACAATGTCAAGGTACAGAGTTTATAGTGGGTGGGTATTCAATAATGAGAAGTTGAATGAATGAATGAATGAATGAATGAATTCTGCTCAAATTATGTTCCTCCTTCTCCATAGAGCTCTCTCATTTCCCTGGTCATGTTTCTCTCCCTTGTGTAGTCACAGAATTTCCTTGAAGATCCACAATCACATTTTTACTTGTATGGCAATTACTTGTATGGTTCTGAAAAGACACGAAAATGTCCAAAAGGTGTCTCAGTACTCACTATCTATAGGGCATTCTCAGGAGAACAAACTGACTTGCTCTGCTAGGATCCCATTTTCCTTGCCCTTGGCAGATTTCCACTGACTTGGACCAATTGGAGCAAATGGGCCCTGAAGTTGTCTTCTTCCAGATCTAGATCTCAGTTATGCACGTTAGTAAAACAGCGGTCTCAAGTGTTTCTTTCCCTCTATTAAGATTCCTATGAAACTCTCGTGTAACCTGGAAAAGCTTTTGTAATATCTTAACAACGATGTATTCTATTCACCTTTTTCTTTCCCATAGAGCAGCCTTCATTTATAATGGTGTCTTTAATCTAAGTACAAAGTATATTTCAGTTTTGACCCATTAGTTTCTCCCTGAATAGAAAATATCTTATCATCTTCCCCTTTAATCAGTGGCAATGGTTAGTGGACATCAAAACCACCTTTCCTACTTTACCTGAATATTTTATTTTTCTCAAAATATCAAGGGCTATAGAGTGCCTTTGTTGTTGTTGTTTAAAAAATATATATACCAGAATTTTCAGTTTGTTTTTTTTTTTGAGAAAGGAGAATTTTGGAATGAAAGAAAGGAAATACAGATAAAAGTTAAAAACCTTGTAGACCTGAATTTGAATTGAAAGTATCAGTTATCAGTTTGAACTAAAAAAGTATTTCATCTCTCTCATACACACACACACACACAAACACATGCACACTCATACACAGACACACATCATTTATTTCCTATATCTGCCTACCAAAATGGCCTAGAAATTAGAAAAAAAACCCACAAATGTTTATTGAGTACCTATATGCTCAGATTGCCTATGAAAATAATACCACTTCCCATTAAAATGACCAGGGTTCCTTGATGATCTGGATGATTCTAAGTCTGAGGCAGAAATTTACATCTTATCATGTTAGATAGCAAGGATGCTATCAGAGACAGTTAGCATCACATCAAGAGGACTCAGGAGGTAGTTGTTGAGGAGATCCCCATCACAAAGATGGGGCAACTTGAGCATTAAAAAAGGATAAGTGAAATGAACTAAAAGGGCTAGGGATATA